GAACAAACTGCTTCAGTTTTTGTGATTCTGCAATGGTCTAAATTTTGAGCATTACTGAAAAAAAATTTCTTATCTTATTTTGATCTATATTGATTAGTATTATTCGAACGCTAATATCTTTATTCTCCATGAAATTAAAAGAGGAACTATAAAAACACCATAAAAAATTATGTTTTACACGTGTCTCTTGTAACATGGCCAGATGACTGATTAATTTGGATTTCAGATTTAGCACATATATATATATATATATATATATATATATATATATATATATATATATATATATATATATATATATATATATATATATATATATATATATCTGCTATATATGTAAATCTCTGCCTCGTCAAAATCGTAAGCGTCCTTTTTTATGGGCGTAATCATAATAATAATAATAATAATAATAATCATATAGTAATCACTGTACCATTAATTTTAACACTTTTAAAAGCAGGTAAAAAACTGTCACAATCATGTGCGGAAATGTAAGTATCTTGAGATTCCACTTGTTTCAGAGAATAAGGAAATTATGTAATTAAATCATGAATTATATATTATGGTGTTTCTCTGTGGAATTTACATTGAATTAATTTATATTGCAATTTGAAATCATATAAATTATGTAAAATAAAACTTATTCCAATAATTGTTATCGCATTACATTATCTAACGGGCTAGTATATCTAACGAAAAATTGCGCTGATTTAATTTCTGCAAAAATGATATGTGTATATGAAGCAACGCCTGACAAATTAAAAAAGATCTTATCAAAGGCTCAATATTCTTATAATCGTTATGAAAGGAGAAAAGGATGATGAAATTCAGTCGATGTAAAGTGCAAAAAAATGTGCGAGCCAACTCTTAGCAGGTGTAGATCGTATACGTACGAGATCTTGTGTATACGACGTAATCGTCGGCAATCGCTCAGCAGAGTTGTTCATATACTTGTACGTGGACAACATACGTGGACAATAAATCATCCTACGATGGCGCACACCCTTATCGCTACGTTAAATCGTGCGCAAGAAAAAAAATCCACTCGTGTTTACTCACGCTTCGTACAATTTCTATACACGGCTAGGCCGATTATATTTTACAGATACGATCGGTGGAGCTTTTTTTCAGTTTTTTTTTTACTTACGGGGACTTTTTTTACGGGGACTTTTTTTAATTAGACTTTACCACATGCTCGTCGAATTTGTGCTTTCCACACGTTATTTTGCAAAATACCATATAGCTATGTATAATAACATGTTCGGGAAAGAGATCCTCGCCTCGTGTCTCATTCCAGCTTCGTTTCGCTAGGGCGTAAACCTCATACGAGATAACAATCTACTTTCCCGTATTAGTTAGGTAACGTGCTATTTTTCGAAGAATGTTTTTCATCGATTATTAGTCAATATTTTCGGATTATAATAGAAATCATGTTTTCACAAAGTTCTTCCCATACTGTTTTTCAGGGAGTATTTGTTTTGCTATACTTTAACTGAAGAAAAAGATAATAACTAATCTGCAAACATATAAAAAGGATAGTTGACGTTACAATGGATTTCAGCTTTAACCTCAAGACTTTGCTCAACGCGTGTCCTCTCGCTTTTCATGTCCGGTCACACTCCATGGGTTTACTTTTTTCTCGAGATTTACCGCATTCCCACATATCTAGATCTGTCTTCTGGATATGAAGATTGATTGTCTTTCCACTCTAACAAATTCTTTACATCTATAGACGAAAAGTTAGCAATGTAATGGTAAGCATTAAGTGCTTTGCTCAATAATACCGGCAGCTTACTATGTCGAGGATTTCATTAATATTATTCAAAGATTAATTTACTACGTACTGGATTGTCGTATATAGATACAATAATTTATGTTCTCAGTTATTGCGATAATAGAGTAACAACTATTGAAATCAAGTCTAAAGTACTTCAAATATTTTTCTATCGACATCAAGAAGTATTTGGATAAGATGATTGATTATCGTATTATTCTTACTAATCTAAGAAAAACGATGTTGTTTGTTGCTCTTACATCGTATTACTTGACTCGTATTTATTCTTACTTAAACTTCTAAGGCTGTTAATATTTCATTGCATCTCAGAATCATTTATTGTTAGACTTTTACTCATTCGGCAAATTTTTTTAAAATACATGCTCAAAGTTCAAATTTGGTACCATTAAAACTCTTATTGTTAGTGAATTTCATTATACTATGAGTTTTCAAGTTCATGTACGAACGAATGCGTGCTAATTTTTTTATCTCAATAACCTACATTTTTCCATTACAGAGGATCTTGACAAACTCCAAAATTATTCAATGAATTACATAAAAAGGAAAACAAGATAATGTGTGTTATTTTCACTAGTATATCTAATCATGAAAAAAATGTGTGGAGTGTAGAAAGTACAAGAGTATGAAATGTTTACGAGCATGGGTACGTTTAGTTGATTTGGAGAAAAGAACGTGTTTGCATTGCATCAGCTTATGTTTGGCGGTTTGTGATCGAATTTCAAGAAAAGTCTTAAAACAATGAGAAAGCTTGAAAATGAGAATCAAATGGCAAGTGATTGCATGACAAGGATAATTAACAGAGATGTTAAAAGATCCTTTGCATAGTGCACGTGTATACTTTTCATAACTTTTAAATATAATCAGTTCATTTGGAATTACCCTTATATTTTGTTTAATATCACGCACACCAACTACATCGTCAATACCACATTTGGGGACTCCTTCGGGATACACAACACCAATCCTATAAATATTCTTCTTTAAATCAATTAAATCCATTATTTTGATGATCACGCACACAATATTTTGTCACTTATCGAAGAAAGTAAAAAAAACTATATATTCATTACACACATTCAACATGATTAATTCCTTGTGGAAAAACGTGCAAAATAAAGCTAGGACTAGCGACAATATATTGCAACATCTATTGATCGAATCAAAGGCAACAGAACAGAAAGGTAATCTTATTCGATTGTTATGTTGATTTTTCGCGTTTGTTTAAACTTTGTGTGCAGTGTTTGCCAATACGATTTTCCATGTAAACTGCGTAGATTAAAAATGCGAATCGGTTTCTTTTTAGATCCCACGTTGTGTCGTATTCGTGAGTCAATATTTGTCAACCAATCCTCAAGTACATGCATGTGCTACAAAAAATATATGTATCCCGTTTGGTGTGAAAGCTTGGTGGTGATGCACATATGCTTTACCTGCGTGCGATGAATACAAGGAGCAGAAAGAAGTTGCTTATATTATCACACAATTTTTCCCGACGTTAAAGTCGTTTATCAACACCAGCTTTCCATATCTTTTCGCGTGCCTAAGAATACACGCGCGCACGCACGCACATACACACGCACACACAGATACATACACATATATACATAAGTTTGAAGTTAACATTTCCCCTCCTTTTCTCATATATACCGTAAGGTACAGTATTTCAAAGCGCGAAAACTGAAAAGTAAATGCTTTTACGAAAAGTATCGCGTGACAAATTTTTCATTCTGTTCTTCTATTATTTTAACGGGATAAAATTTGATACACATCATACACGCCCTTTGGTATCCTCCGTTAATTCCAACTGTTACCATCTCAGGTATTAAATTTCGCGAACATGTATATAGTTCACTTGTATGCGAGTTGAAGCTCAATAAACTTGGATCGGGCCTTAAATTCACAATGAACAACATATAACGTATGTATTTATATTACGTACACATATCGCTAGAGTAAAAAACTTTATTACTGCATGTATCTGATGTAACGAAATATTGATATGTAAAACACTATTATATAGGTATATCTATACATTTTTATCGTACTTTTTGCGTTTCCAGTTACTTTGCTATAAATTGCCGTTCCTATTCTTTTCACGCAATAATTTTTCATGATTTTTTGTCCAAAACAATTAAGATGTACTGCTTATAGTTTACAGAAATATATTAACAAGTATGTGTTCATTTGATTAGATGTTCTATTAATATTTAGTCTACGCAACCTTTCATTTTTCACACTAGCCAAAGCGTAGTAGACCGATGATTTTTTAAATTTGATACTGTAGACACTTTAGCTACAAAGAAATGCATATTACGTGGTACTTTAAGTTGAAAGCACAACACCCGATAACATTGTACATAGGTGTATATACGTATATTACATTTTATAGGAAAACAATTTCTTTTTCTTTTGCAATTTAAAATCATGAAAATGAAAAAAATTCTTTTTTTTCATATAAGTCTTTTAGCTCAAGTAATGTTACCGAGTTATTCGCTTTTTAACACGTAGTGAATAGGCATATGCGCGTTTAGATCGCAATTTGTACCCTAGTGTATGCGAGACGATCCATCAAATAGATAAACAGTGATAGGATATTAGATTGAAGTGGAATAAATTTGCAGACTATTTTTGGAATATCGAAACAAACTACGCACTTCTTATTTCTTGGATTTAATGCATAAAAAGTAATTAAAGTCTCGCTGAAATAATTATTGTGTTGTTCATAAAGATTATTATCAAACGCTTTCTTTACATAATTTTTTTATAATTGAAGATCCATAATGTAAAAGTAATCCAAAGATATTATTCATAGTAATTATTTTGAAATCAGTTCACATTAAGCATCATATTTCACGATGAGCTATTAAGTATATTCTATCTTTGAGAAACTCAATAGATAGAAAAAGTCCCGAAGTAGTATCCATATATGACGTGCATTTAGATAAAAATATACATTTATGAATTCTACTAAGAATCGCAGTGGTAAACTATGCTCGAAGTTGCCATGAACTTGTTGGCTGCGCCCTATCCTACATACTGTAAGATGATGAGTCCTTATAGCCATGTCTCGATTCATTTAGGTCTGACTTTTTTAAATAGCAAATTTTACTCCAAATCATGTATTCTTATTGACTTACCTTATTGGTTATATTATAAAAAGGTACATCACTATCACAAGAGTATAAAAGTAAAAAAATGCTAGTGTTTAAATCCTTTTATTCTCAACAAGATTAATATTGTATAAAAAAGTGCATCGCTTCACAAGAAACAGTTGCAGAACATAAGTATAATAAATCTTGTAAACGTAAGCTTTATACATATGGAAAACCTTTGCAGCATTTAAATTTATATCTTCTATTCTACCGTAAGTCAATTTTATGCCACGTCACTTAAATTTATTGTCTACGGCAAAGTAAGAAATGAAATATACGTAATAGCTGTAACAATTAAGTCGCAACTAAAACTTAAAACCAAATTTTTTTTTTAATAATTTACAAATGTATAAAATTGTAATAGTTTATGGAATCATTCATAGTTCTAACTTTTATATCAAATATTTATGGAAGGGTCCCTAAGTGTACCTCGTCGATATTGATCATTTTGTAACATATTGTAATACTTAAGAAAATTTCACATGTATTTTTTTTAAGTGATAATTCTCTGATTTAAGGGATGTCAATTATCTCTAAAGTTCACCCTAAAACAATTTTTTTAATATCACAAAAACTACTTGGAATTTTTGAATGAAACCGTCATTCCATGTAAAAATATGCTTCTGTAGACATAACTTTTGTACCAAAGGGTTGAAACTCTTATTTTTTCAGGGGTAAATATCAATTTTTTTTCTTTACTTTTCATACAAAATTTATGAAATCAGTTAATTTAGTCTAAAAATACAATTGTTATTAGAAATATAAAAAGTTGAAGATGATATATTTCGGGTTTATTGAAGACAAAATTTTCCTAGGCTTTAATTATCTCTAAAATTATTTTTTTATTTCAGCATTATAGAAATAAAAACTTTCTTTAGTATCATAGAAATAAATACCTTTGGATAACTTTTTAAGATCGTATTTTTTGAGAAAATATTTCATACAAAAGTTGTAGAATTTTATTTAAGGAATTTCTTGATGATTTTGACTTGACCCCAATGTCATTTTGGAGGGTTATTTTTTATTATTTATTATTTCACGATATTTTTTCTAGACAGTAAAACTTATAGAGGTACATACACACACACAAGGTGGTAGTACATAATAAATACAACAAAACAATGTAAAAAAAGAAAAAGAAAAAACAAAAGCACATAAATTGTTGCACAATCGCAATTTATTTCAGTAAACCTTTTCTTTGTAAATCTTTGTAAATCTTTTAAGATTCTTGAATGAAATCCTACGACTTTTGACTGAACCATTTTCTTGGAAAATAAGATCTTGAAAGCTATTTAAGGTTTGGGTATTTTTATTTCCTAAAATATTAATGAAAAAAATGATTAGAGGCAAAATAACTCTAGGAACATTTTTCCTTCAAAAACCCCGAAACATGTCAACTTTAATTTTTTATATTTCTGATATTATGCATGATGCGAGGCCAGGAAAGATTGAAATTCAATCTTCCCAGGTCTCGTAACATGTAAATACGTTTTGCAGGACCACGCTAAAAATACTTCCACTTTTACAGGCACAAGAGTGATCGTCGATTGGGGATAGCCCGTCGGAATTCCGATGTGTAAAATTTCTGAAAAAAAAATTAGGGAATTTCATGAACCGCACGCGGAATATCTTCCCTTTAAACAAGCATATTGTAACCACGTCAGATCAGACTTGCGTAAAAGAGGGCGCAAGAAAATTTTTGTTTTATTGGGCCGCGATGAGTGGTACTTCAAGGACCTGTAACCGAAGGACGTCGCATTGATAAATTTCTTTTTCAAGTTATTTGAGTAAGTATTTACTTTTCCGAGGCCTCGTAACATGCAAATATATATTAGAAAACCTAATTCGAATCTTTTAACGCTGAGGCCCAGCAATACGCATAATCGTGTTGCTAGCTACCTGAAGGTCCTATATGCGTATCACAGGACCAGATATTTGTATTTCCATTTTGTCTTTTTTTAGATTAAACTAGCTAATTTTATAAATTTCGTGTAAAGAAAAGAAAAAATTTATATTTACCCCTGGAAAAAAAGGAGTTATAATCCTTTGGTACCAAAGTTGTGTCTACAGTGGCGTAATTTTATACGGAATATTTCGACTTTGATTTCATTCAAAAAGTCTAAGTAGTTTTTGAGATATTAAAAAGACTGTTTTGAGCAGTTAACTTTAGGGGTGAATCTTAATATTGAATATTATCTTGAATATTACAACATAATAAAAATCGGTGAGGTACACGTGGGGACCTTTTCTTGTTAATTTTATTAAGCAATAAAATAAATGTTAGCATTACAGTTGGTTCATATATGTCTATAAATATATATTATAGGCTTTTGGTAGAAGCCGGTATACTATTGGAAAATTGAAGGATGCACCATTGAAATGACCCTTGGTTCTTTCATCTACTTTGTTTTGTTCAGTCGGACGATTGTCGACAATAGAAAGACCGATTATTTTAAATCAAGCAGTTAGTCTGAATAAAACTTACAAACAAGTATCAGAATATAATTCATTTAAACAAAATAAAAATTTTTGTCACCCTTCATCATATAATAATCATAACACTAGTGATCGATACGGAAGGTCATTCTCCGATTTATGTGCAAAAAAACGAGAGACCAATATATGACAAGGTAGTACATCGCTATTAACAATTTGTAACGTAATTTTTTGAATGTAGACTTATCCTGAGGAGGCTGATAAAGAGATCAGCAAAATGTTGAATAATAATATCAGTGATTAAATAAATTCTGAGAATCCCCGGTAGCATAGTGGTAAGTGCACCCAATTAATTTTCAAATGTCAATAAATTCTAAGAATGACCGTCCCTATTAATTGCTAGTGGAAATAATAATTTTGATTCGTTTTGATTATTGGAAAACTAACTATTGTAGATTTGACGTGTACTTCGAAAGAACCCACTAATATTTAAATTATTATTCATGACATTGCACAAATTAATTGTGACTGGAGATGTTATCGAATATTAACCCGATAAATAATAATAAATAGTCATTATAATTAATAATACACATATTTATAACTTATTACAATTCCTTGGAAAATGAACTGATTGCACGATTTAAAATGATTAGCTTTTCAACTCCCGGCATTCGACTGACAGTCTGAATCATGCTTGGTAGATGGAAGTACGGTGATTGTAATGATTTACTCTGTCATTTTTCGGCAATATATCAATTGCCTATGACATATGTATAAGTAATGGGTTGGGTAATCTTTACTACAAAGTTTAATCAGGAATAAGAACCGCAATGCCAAGAAAAATATAAATTACTAGATCAGTGCGATAAAAGTATGTACTGTGAATCAATTTCGGCTCTAATATGGTGCAATAGTTTTTTTCATAAAGATTTCTGACAATGAATTTCTAAAGTATAATTGGCTTTTTGTTTCCAATATTTAGCCTTTTTAATTTTGTGATATTTTTTGTTATCAAGTTAATTTTAAAAGAAATTGCTGCAGTGAATAAAATTGATCGATGGTATTTTCATTACATTAATCTACCGATATAAATCGCTTTCTCGGCATTGTAATGCATATTCGAGATTTATAAGATATTGGAAGCTAGATATAGAAATGGAAGGTCTTTAATTTTCTTAAAAAATAAGTTGAAGGTTTGATATTATTTACATATATGTACAATTGCAATACCAAAACCTTTTACCTAAAAATAACATCCAATTTCTGTTTAAACTGAACGAGCGTGATATAAAGCTACGAAAAGTTCAACGATAATTATTCTTTACTTTTTTCAATAAGATAACTATAGGTGCATTAATCACACTCATCTAAACATTTGATTGAGAAGTTTTGGTAATACCTTATTTTTTTGGCTATACAATAACTACTAAAAATTTACATTTTATTTACAGAATAGATAAAAACTATTTGTAAGTTCATACACGCTGAGTAGAATGCCTTTTAACTTTCGATTATAACGAATTTACCATTGTTAAATATTTCTTCTAAAATTTTCCAATGAAATTTGAGAAGCAATTGATAATAGTTTTTTAAATAACATACTATAAAGGGTCAAAAATCCGAACGCAAAATATTAATTTATTTTGCACAGTCCGACAAATTTTGTCATAACAATATTGTTTCACGATAAATGTAATATTATCGAATAAATTTTCTAATATATATAATTGAACTTTTTTAAAATATATCAACAAAAATACGATTGATGCAGAAATAAGCCATTGATTAAATTAGCATGCCGCAATATTATATTTACTTTAATAGACATATTATTTTAACGAGATTTATATTTTTAATGTGAAATTTTTAAATTCATTAGTCAGTACTTTTAATAATGAATAATTGTAGAAATCTTTAAAAACTTATTTCAAAGACTACACCGATGTGGAGAACAAATTATTATTTCTTGTGCACAAAGCCAGATAAGCATTTTCAGTGATAAGTATGTAGTTGAGTTTATGCACCAAAATTAAGAGTAAAAAAACTTACTTCAAACATTTTGAAGAGTTACGAGGCACTTTATAAATTTACAAAATCTTTCAAATGTGAGCAGATACTTTAAGCTTATACTCTCACACTTTCATTTATAATTCCATTAATATCTAATATGAGAAACTTATAAGGTGCTTTTCACTATTATCTATTCATTATTATATCTATTCTTCATTATTTACAGCTGCATCAAGGTCTTTATCTTTGCTAGAATTTTTTGATAAAAGATGTTTTTGGTCATCTTCTTTCTTTTGCCGAAAGAATAAAAAGGCAGATATAACTATTAAAAGTATCCCTAATATTGCTACAGAAATGCTGACTCCACTTCCAAGAGGAGGAAGTACAAGAAGCAATTTAACTTGACTAGCATATTCAGATGTTAAATTAACCTCTTGTGTAAACCACAACATAGGAACATACATTTTTGGAAGATCTTTAAAGAGTCTGTAATCAATAGGTCATATATTATGTCCTTAGCATCTTACATTTCTGATCAAATAATACTAATAAGATCACTTACTTGAAACCATATTCTGGTTCTACCAAAAAATTAACTTGTAAAGCAGCTCGTACTTGTAGTGGGACACCAGTATCCTTTAAAATTAAGTAATAAAAATATATTTCATTATATGATTTTAAGAATTTCAGCATTTAACTTAAGAATTTAAGCATTTAATTTAAGAATTTAAATATTTGTATTGTTCTTGCTTACTGGTTGTACAATTAATCTGAACTCATGTTTTTCTTTCTGCGGATTCATTCCACTTATATTTTGTAGATAACTTTTATCAGCTAGATAAAAATGGGGTAGACTGACAAATGCTGGTGCCCCCCATTTGCAAAGTGATACATTCAATGTACCACTAGGTTGGCATTGACTATCTTCGCAGTAACATTTTCTAGATGGTACTTTATCACCATTATCAAACATTTCTGCATCTGATATATATTTATTTCCAGTAAGACCTAACCACTCATTTGTACCATCTGCTTTTAAAGTTAAAGTTCTGAAAATGAAAATAATTTTGTTTACGATACAACGTTTAATATCCAATTTAACATACAATAGATTCAATAAATTTAATGACATTCTTTTTTTACTTTTATTGTATATATGCGTTATCACTTACGTGCAAACGTCAGGAGAAAATACTGAAACAGTTTTATTATCAGGTAGTGGAGGCCACAAATCTCCATTTGTACCTTTTATTGGCCCGCAACTTTTTGGATGATAAGTAGAACGGTTATTAAATTGCCACTCTTTAATCATTCCTAATTCATTTATATTTTTTGATCCTGTTAACATGTTGAAAGTTCCATCATATGTCTTAGAATCATTACGCTAAAAGGAGACAAATTTGTTACATAACAAAATTACTTATTGACATGATTACAAAATAAACTTTGTAATTACTGACCGCATAAAACCATGCAAACTTTTCATAAGGTATAGTTGTTAACTTATACTTAACAGCATATTTGAGTAATTTGTCTTCATAACCATCAAACAAAATTGTTTTTACTGATGCAGTTAAAGTTATACCTTCAACTTCCTTTAATATCAAATTTATTAGCTTTTTAAGATGATCTTCTGCATTCCTAAGTGTATATGCCATTGTCTAAAACAAAATTGCTGCATCAATATTTTTCAAAATACAATATTTTCTGAAACAAATTATATCAAATTTTTCTTACAATGGTAATAGGATTCATGTTTGTTACTTGGTCGCTTAGTGATCCAGTGGACATTGTTGGTTCAAAATGCCAATTTTTTCTCTGTTGAAACGTGACAGTACCATTTTCATTCCATGCTTTGACCACTTTATAATCTATTTCCCTGATAATGAAATAAGCATTGTAAATAAAATAATGAGATGAGAAAAAAAAATCATATTATTTGAACAAATACTCAATATTATTAGTATATTACTGATATCACATTGAAATTTATGGTTTTTACATCTGTTGGTAATTACCTAAATACGTAGGGTCCTAATTGCTCAAAGTGTGGCGTTTCATACAGTTTATCATGATTTGTCCAATTGTAAAGATAAATATTCAAATACATTGGCACTGGAGTTGCATTCCACATTTTATAATTGATTGATTCAGGTGATAAAGTAAATTGCTGGAAAAGGTGAATTCATTGATATTTTGTATATATAGAACAATGATTCTGATAAACTTTTAATAAAATGATACCTTATGAATAATATCACGAAATATCGAAGGCCAAAGAACTGCACAGGTAACTCCAAATGCCAAACAGAAGAAAGACACTATTAGCATAATGCCTACTTTTTTCTTAATTTTCACCATTTTTTCACTTGGTAATCTGTAAATATTTATATTAATTAATTGATGATACCTTCTTCATACTGATTAGAAAGTTTTATCTCTACGGCGATAATTTATTTTTTCACTAAATATGACAGAAATTTTGAGCTTAATGTTCGAATCAACAGGAATATACAATAAACGTGTTATCGCGTTAGTTTTCGTGAATTTTTCCAATACTCAGAAATTCAATATTATTTTATACACACATGCGATTGTTCCTCATCGATATTGCATCAGAAAATATTTTGATTATTCACCTATCCTTTATATATGTTGCGCAACAATGGATTAATAAGAACATGTATAATAACTTTTTACTACGAATTGCTCATTTTACAAGATTAGTTACAGTTGAAGTTATTTAAATTGACTGATATATATACATTAGCACAAAAACAGCTGATTGACGATCACGGTGGACGATAGAAAGATAGACCGACTAATGCTAAGAGAACGTGCCCGTAAAGTAAGCTTTGAGTCGGCGACTTCTAGGTGGCGCCAGGTTAAATGAATACCCACAGCTCACACCTATAACAAGAAGAAAGTTCTGTGAACCACGCTATGTCGGTAACACACTCGCGCAACGTTTATTGAATATGTAATCATTTTCAGTGCTAAAACAATAATTTTTACTGCTTAATCAACTATGTTAATATTCATATCATCAATTTAAAGTTCTAACTTTTTATTTTTTTCTCAATTGAGGCGAATAAACGTTACATTGAACTAACCAACTATATATTTTACTAATTATAATGCAGGAAATCTTGATACGTACAATGTCAATAATTCAAAACCGGGTGTGTTATAAAATCCCAACTGCTTAATTCTAAGTTTAAAGGTAAATTTTGTTCCGTTGGCAGTTTTACGTTCTATTTTATTTTTGTAACTTAGATCACTCAAATATTTCGATCTTACATATTGTAAAACAAGATCTGATCCGATAGAAATTAACTTTCAATTATTACGGGTTAAAAAATTATAGAGCAAAAAATATAAAGCAGTTGGTTTCTCATATAGATATCGTGAACAAAAGAAAATTCCATAGAAATGCCACTTATGAGATATGGAAGTTTATAGTTTTGGCAATAGAATAAGCTCACTCGTGTCTTCTTATCGTAAATATAAGCGTATTTGCAGATAATTTAAAATTATTTATATTAAGAATACGATTACCTTAGTTCAGATTATCTAGGCTTTAATTCGAAAAGATTAAGTTTCCGCTGATATTAATAAATAAAAAAATATTTAAAAAAACAATAGTAATAATTAACAGTAACTACAGGCAATCTTATTACTGTATTTTTTTTAAATCGATGTCTTTTAAACTGCACGGATAAATAAATAATTAAATTTTAATATTTTATGGCAATAATAAAAAAAATAATTACTCAATTTCATTAGATATGAAATCATTTTATAGGTATTTTTAGAGTTAAAAAGCTGTATAAATAACTTCCTCTTTGCATATTAAGCTTCACTAGCAAAATTCGAATAAAATATTTATTCATATTTATTCTTAATCATTATTTATTTCATTTATACTTATTTAGTGCCATATACCCCATCTTACCGCCGAATATTTTCTGTGTTTAGAATTAATATTGATATTTTAAATCATCATTTGTTATTTTTTCTCCTAATATATAATTTTGAATATTCTTTGTTTTTCAAAATGATACATTTTTAAGTTATCTACCTATATAATTAAAAAACATTGCTACATTATCTGTTAATTTTATTCATTCAAACTGTACATAAATAATATAAAAAATTATAATAATATTTATATGAAAAAATATCATCCAAATAAAGTTATTGCAAAGAAAATATGGTTTTACACATACATACATGGAAATCAGTCAAATAAATCAACTTATTAATAAAAACTGATGATATCTAACAAGTTATATGACAATTCTATAATGTGATGTGTAAATCAATTCTTACAGCCATAGTTGAGCGAGTAGAAAAGGTATAAAAAATATAATTAATGAATCGAAGATAATGTTCGCTATTTTAATTCTGATATAAACAATATGGATTGTCTGTATAAAAATCCGAGCTGATTCGATGATTGCTTTCCTTAACTTTTCTTATTATACAATTTTGTTACCACTTTATGTTCAGATTCGTAAACAAAGAGGAATATATTGTAGCTTCAAACTTACTCAACAATATAGAAAACAAGTAGGCTGAGAAAAGTTTCAAATAAAGCTAGGGTAAATTTCTTTTTAAATTTTGTAAATCTTTTTATGTATATTCGTTATTCTGCGATAATTACATAGAAAAACTTGATTTTGCAATTCAGAATTTTTTATTCTACCGACACTGAAAATAAAAAATTAAGATAATTAAAAGATATCACTCTACCAAACACATTAATGGTCACAGAATTATTAATTATTAACTTTAAATTTATGATATGAATGACAACAATGTTGACTGAGCAGTAAGAATGACTGTTTTAGCATTAAAAATGATAAAATATTTAATAAACGTTCCACAAGTATGATGATCGTTACCGACTGGGAATTTGATTTGACGCGTTACAGTAGTGTGTTTGTGTGAACATTCACCGCTTTCAGCATGGCTCATACACATTAATTCATCTTGTTATAAGTCTGATCTGAGCCGTGGGTACTCATTTAACCTACCGCCACTTAGTGAATGACGATAATAACAAATGTAACTGTTCAAAGAATTCATCTATTCTATTCTATACTTATTGTAGCGTACGGATCTCAATGTAAAGAACAAAATCTGACGGAAAAATTCAAATTTGAAGTACCGCAAGTGAATAATTGATATGTCAAGTTTTTTAATATGATATCTTACTGCTTTTCGTTACTTGTTGATCCTGATTGGAAATCGTTCTGGGCTTTTGATTCCACGGATTTAATAGAGTCTATGTACTCCTTTGGATGCTCAGTTTGTTTTCCAGGCGTAATATTTGTTTCAATATGCTTCGGGTAATCTCTGCAATATTTTCAAATGATTAAGATTTTTTAAATTATCTTGATTAAAGATATTTTATTATTATGCTTGTAAAAAATGTTATTTTTGCTTTTGTATTCTTGAAGTTATAGTTGAATATTGCACGTGCGTTAAAGGAATGCCATAATTCTTTTTTATCAACTTTCTTGGAGGCATATTTTGTTTTTCCCAAAATAACGATCGGAGAACGTTCATATTCCGGTTAATAATTGATTGTTAGATATTAAAGCGAAGTACGATAAATTCGATGATAAAATCGATAAAAATTGTTTATTTCCACAGCAGCATTGTATGGTGACTGTTTATTTTTCTCAGATAAAATTATTAATCCAATTTTCTTTTAGAAATATAAGTTTTATTAATTTTATCAACAAGTCAACCATACATCATTTTATTTTCTAATAATCAACTAATTATTAACTGAAGTATGAACGTCCTCCGATGCGTATATATTGTAAGAGGAAATAAGACCCCAAGAAAAAGTCGGCAAACAGAGGCATCTTCTTAAGTAAATTGTACACCTATCAAAATTTTGATCTGGATCACTTGATAAATTTTTATTATATCAAACAATGCCGATATAACTTGAAATATTTATAACAGATTAAAATCACATTTCAGCGATCTGGATTTGAAAGAAAATAATATTTGCGATATAAGGCGTTGAAAAAAAAAGAGTTGGTTTATTCACTAATTAATTCAGGGGATCTGGTGTAAAACAGTTAAAATTATAATTGTTTTTTTACTATGGTACAGAAATTATTTAATAAAGTTATCATCATAAATATTTTTCATCTTTAAGTATAATTCTTTATATTCTTTAAGTATAAAATGTTTTGATTTTCTTTTTTTAGCGGTGGTTCTATTGACAAGTGCTTAACTTCGGGTAGCCGCGTGATTAAAAAAATACTTTTTGTATTCTACTAGCTCGTTATAACAAATTTGATGGATCGAAGCAAAAATATTTAGAAGTACTCCTCATAATATCTAGTTTCTCATAGTCTTTTACCGAATTCGATATCAAATTTTGTTTGTCTACAAAAAATTATGCTAAAACTCGTAACTTTGATCAAGAAAAGTCTGTTACAAATTTTGGAAAATCAAAAATTTGTTCATGCCTCATTATTTGCTAAGGCCTTGAGAGTACGTGCATCAGTTTATAGGCCTTAATACGCATTAAAAAAAATTCTAAAAGATATACCAGTACTTTTTAGCAACATTTTCGTTAATAACATAAAAAAAAGCCATGGCGACTTATAATTTTGAATATGGCAATCACTTCAAAATTGTATTAGCTTTGTTGTGTCAAAGTTCCGTAATGTTTTTCTTTCCATATTAAAATTCAATGAGAAATAGATAATTATAGTTTTCAATGTGTTTTTTCACGAGACCTAGATTTTTCATTTTATTTTCCAAAAATAATTTAGAAAGAAACTGAAGAACATTACCAATCTTTAACAAAATGAGGCTCATTAAATTTTAAGCCAATTGCTGTATTCAAAATTATAGGTTGTCGTGAATTTTTTTACATTATTAACAAACATATTGCTAAAAAGTGCAAAACATCGTCGTCGCGACACCATGCTGATTTACTAAATAGCTTCTAGAATTTTTGTCTAATGAGTAATAAGACCTATAAACTGATATATGTCTTTTCGAGACCTTATATAATAATATAGCATAAACAAATTTTTAATTTTTGAAAATTCACAACAAATTTACAAATTTTAGCAATTTTCAGGTTATAATTTTTTGTAGACAAACAAAAGTAAAAATCAAATCCTGTCAAAGATTATGAGAAACTAGATAATATAAGGAGTACTTCCAAATTTTTTCGCTTCGATGCATCAATAACTTATTTATAGCGAACAAGTAGAAGACAAAAAGTATTATTTTAATCGTGCGGTTACCCGAAGTTGAGCACTTGGTAATAAAACCACATCGCTCACTGTATCGCATCTAATGATCGCTCGATGCATTTTCAAAAGGATTCTTAAAGAAAAAATGTCAAGGAACCCAATAAAAAAAGAATTTTTTAAATAAAAATAACACTTTTTGAGATATGGCCAATTGTTTAAAAAAATGTTAATGACTTTCGGAACAATTGATATTAAACTATTATTCGCTTAATATCTTCGAAGTACACCCTTTTATGCGTAATTAAAAAAAATCGTTTCTCTAACTTAAATGGTTGTGGAGATATACATTTTTGAAAATTTTTTCAAAAATTTTCAATTGTTTATAACTTTTGATATAATTATTATAATGATCTAAGAATCCATACTTAAATATACTACCATATAGGCAACATGTAGACCAAGTATCAAATCCGAAATCTACCCCTGAAAAGTTGATCGTCATAGTCTGGAATGTGCCATATATGAATGAGATTTATTATTATATTGCAATTTATTTTTCTATACTAATTGCACAGTTAATATAATATATGATTTGAAGTTATATAATAATGTTAATGAAGTTTTAATATTCTTCAAAATCAACTGGTGAACTATTGAGTTTCTGCTTTGATTGACGTAAGTATTTATTAGAAATGATAACGTTTTTACAATTTCTTAAAATACGTGTATTTTGAGATAACAAGTATAACAGTATATAACAAGCACGATCAAATATTAATAACTTAGCTATTTTAATGCGTGTTTGATAAGTTATTTTTTACTAGAGTTAATCTCTAGTGAAAATAAATCTGGTAATTTAATAAATCAACAATTCAGTAGTATAAAAAAATTATCGATTTATCGAGATATCAATTGTGATTATAAATTTATCAATAATTTTCGTTTTATTATCTGAGTATCACAGTGTAACTACAAATTATATCCTTGAATTAGATATATATTGGTTATATTGAATAGAATAATGTAAATTAAATTAAATTAAATGATCCAGAAAATGTTACAAAATTTGTATATTAATCCAAGGTAAACCTCCTACTCAAATATCGTTCGACAGATTAATTTGTTTTATTTTATAAAAACTTCCTTCATTTATCAAACTTTGAGAATAATTATTTTATGGAAATAAAAATACGAAACGTATTTGCTGTCTAGTTCAATATATATTTTTAAACATTTTTTTAAAGAGTGTGGCTCATTTTTTAATTATTAATTTGACTAGAATTTTAAGTAATTTTATTACATAAAAATATAATAGAAATAGTAGCTATCCCATTAAAAATTAGATTTTTCTACAATTGCAGAGTGCTTTCATGAAGCCAGTAAAACTGGGTGGCTATTGTGTAAATAACATAACTCCTAATTAATGTAGAATTTTCATAGTATCATTTAATGAAAGCTGAGATTAAATCTTTTCGAGACAAAAAGAAAAATTATTCAAAGTATTGATCCACGTACGGAATAACTATGCTTTATTATTTCCGGTATATCTTGATTTTAGATTTGACGATTACACTTCTAATTTAACAACTACATACACCCATACAGACACACACACACACAAATTAATTTTCACTAGACTAGTCAATTATGGTCACTCCTGGAAATGACAGTGACCATGAAAAGAAGCCTTTTTAAGTTATATTTCATTGTTGAATATACAAATAGTCGTAGGTACTGTTAAATGTGTAAAAGTAGTCGTAGCTTCGTCTTGATGATGAAAATCGATAGACTGCGTGTTAAATTTTTAGTAGATCGAGCACTATCGGATAATCCACACCAACGTTTCGTGATTTATTCTGACGCGGACATGATGCCGCGTGTTTTGATAGATATATACGAGCGATCACCATTGCGCAAGTGAATATTAGTCAATTTTTAGATATGCATATCGAGAGACATATATGTCTATAGGTATTATCTAGACTTATTTGAGCAAGATGGCATAGCACCTCGACGTGTCTGGTCTTTTAAATTAGAAACTGACGGTCGCGAAACTCAACAGGTTGTATAGCGCACGAATAGCAAGTATTTAGTAATATGCTGTCTGTCTAGCAAGCACTGCAATTTCTCGAGGTACTCTTATAGTTTGAAAAGTGAAAGTCAGAGAGCAGACGCATGACGTATAAGCGCATCAAAAAGACAGTTGCAATTAGAACGGGATCAAAATTAGGAGTGTGTCGTCGTCGTCTTTAAGGGCTGATGGCGTTGAAGAATGCAAGAGCAGAAAAAAAATCGGGCGAAAGCAAAGGAAAAGAGCTTACACGAGGTCGTTGCGTTCGTGGCCGTTGGCCGGATGCTCAAGAGTAGCCAGCTCGACGCAGTTGCTCTGTTGCTGCATCCTTGTTCGATGGCGCGGCGAGGCGATGTGTTTTCGGAGAGCGCGCGCGGGCGCAACACGTGCACGTGTCGAGGCGTGCTCCGAAGTGAACGAAACTGATGACGAAAGGAGCCAACGCGATACACTTAAATATTATGGCAGAGCGCCGCTCGCGTGAGACAGCGACAGAGAGCGCAAGCATTTAGCTTGGACTCTAGCGCCAGCCAGTTTATCGTGCGAAGGCAGTACGCGGCTCGCTCAGCGATAATCACTAGCCTAACTCTGTTTACGAGAACCGTGGAGGGGAAAAAGATGCAGACAGACGATCAGCCGCCAGGGAGAACCGCTTTACTTTCTTTTCTTCGTTCCTCGTTTCACCGAGCGATGCATGCAATCCTCCCCTGTTTTGCGCTGTCTTCGCTCTCTCGGGCGCGCACTTCTGTTGATGTGCAAGATCGCGCAAAATAAAGAATTGCTGATGCTCATATCACAATGCGCCCACTCGTCAAGATTATTCGCGTTATGGCAATTAAATCACATTTTCGTTTACTTTCGCGTCCGCGAGATTAATTTTTATTTGCCAAGTTTTCCAGTTACGCTTTTCAATTGCCATTCGCGCTAGAAGGTTTTTTCATTCGCAGATGAATTAAAAATCATTGACGTAGGAGCGCCTGCATTGATTAACGGTTTTTTCTTGCTGTCAAGTGCAGTCGCATTTCTGACGCAGAATATACTCATGGAGAGGAAAGAATGTCAAAAATACTAAATCATCGATGACCGATTAGAAGCGAGATAGTAATCAAGTCGAAAATCAAACCTTTATTTGAGATACACACAATTCAAGCGCCTTTTAATTGAGTGGGAGACTTCAAAAATATACAAACCGGAATGATTTCTCAAACATTCGAAGCTACAAAAGCAATTGAGATCAATGGAAATGATCCGACAGATTGATTGTTTTCACCAGCAGATGTTAATGATGTACGGTTCAAACAGATTTGCTTTTTCTGTCCTTGGCTCAAATTTTGTTTCTTTAAATATCTATAAATCACGATCAATCGTCGTAAATCTATTTATCCTTATACTGAAAACTATATTTCCACAACGGTAACTTTTAGTTGTAAATAGACAATATAACATTAAAATTACTTACAATTAAAATAATAAAAATAAAAGGTAGTGATGGAAATCTGTTTGTTTGGAAATATCTTTTATCAATTTCTCGCGCGAGAAAAATCAAGATGCATGGTGAACGCACGTTCAAATATTTCGGTAGTCTTATCCGTAGACAAGATTAATTAAATATCTACATTATTGGAAGTCACTTTTTAGATAAGATTGCGCAATCATGGAAATAATCGGATACAAATTCTTGTTGAGTTGAGACGAATGTAATATCAAGCCAATTATTGTATTACAAAGTTAAGCAGTCTCACCTTTCTCTGGAATAACCCTGAAATCCCTCGCATTTTATGTAAAATAATTGTAAGTGTGGCATAAAATACGTTATATTTATTATTTTGTTTAAATAAAAAAATAGTTTTACGGAATCATAACTCGGAAGCACCGAAGTGTTATCTAATAAACATCAGATTATGCTGCACGGCCATAATGCCTTTGTATAATAAGAATAATCAAATATATTTTAAAATGTCATTACTAATGCTACAAAATACTATCTGTTACGCATATTGATAGATAGTTTCGTATAAAAATTTTTCTTTTTCAAAAAATTCATCATATTAATTTAATATTGATTATACTTTGCATAGGTACGTAAGTATTTTCGAGAAATGATACTGATCTTTCTCTTGATTCATTTCTATACAATGTATGTGTCCTCACTCTTGAGTTTTTAATGATTAATTGTAAACGATATGTGTAAATGAGATTGGACAAACGTGAGATGAGTAATAAATGCAAAAAGAAAAAAATATATGTATATATTTATGCATACATCTACAATAACGCATTTGAATAACTTATTTTGAAGGATACGACGATTCAGGGAATTTTATCAAGTGCAAACATCATAGCATTGTGTACGAGAAATTATGAGAATTCTTACTAATTCAACAACGTTAAAGTAATATGAACATTTTAAGAAAGAAGTGTTTTAAGGGGAAATCAAGTATCTGCTTGAACATTGACCACATTGTATGATAATAAGATTGTACTTTCTCAAATGAAAGATAATGAACGATAGCATTTGTGATCGATTATGACATTTCTTTGAAGGTCGCTTAGGTATTGTATACGTTTTGGCAAGTATATATATAATCAGATTGAAGGTATAGAAAATGTCATTCGTATTAAAAATATATAAGATTACAAATTATTATAAAATTTATATTTCCATAATCATAGGCTATTTTCGTGAAATTTTGAGTAAAAAAATTGTTTGAAAAGGTGGAACTGTTCAAAAGTTATAAGAACAAAATTCTACGTAAACACTTATAAATAAAAAGTGTATTTTTTGATCTGATTCATTTTTTTGATTGATTGGACTGTAACGTTATTTCATTTTTATCTATAAATAGTTTATTTGCAGTTCACGTGGAATTGATTATTCTTAGAACTCACAGATCATAAATTAAAAAATCTGGATAAAATAAACCACAAGTGTTTTTTCAAATTCAAATACAAAATGTTAACTTGAAAATTCATTGAGCACGCAATATCTGTACTGGCTCTTCTAAATTGTTCATGCTATTTTATTATTTATTTCCCTGTATGGTGTGCACGTCATAACGATTAAATAACGATTTTAGATTACAATTAGTAACTTTATAGCTGAATGCAGTGTGTATAATGGCAATTTTTTATAAGCTTCCATATAATGTTATTAATCTTCTTTCGAAATCAATGACGAAAATTATTTAAGATTAGTATTGTTTATTTTTCATAATAAATGTTATTTTTATTGTGTTGTCCAAGCAATGATCGATAACATTATTTCAATTTCAAAACAAAGATTAATAAAATTATTTCGTCTAGTACATCAAAATACTTCATAAAAACAATTAATTTATTCATTTTAGTATTTGGATGTTTTTTTGCATTTTAGTTAAGTTATTAAATCTTATAACTATCGAATATGACTTAACTATAAAGTGCTAACATCAGGATTAAAATTATGAATCGATACTAGGTCAAATACTTTATTCGAGTTGCATATCCTTTTCTAAGATTATATCTATTGATACTTATGTTAACAGTTATTGACGGTTACGGACTGCGTCAGTAGAAATTTACATTGCATTATTAAAGCAAACACAATATTTCAGTATAAATCGTCAAGATTTCTAACCGGCTTGTAACAATTGGGTTCTGTATTTTGATAGTTTTTTTGCAGATACTGGCCAAGTACTGGCATGAATGTAGCTACTTCCAAATAAAATTGGATCATCTCAAGACTATGTGCAAAGACATGTATATCAGAAAAATTCCGATGAAAAACTGTATCTTTTTTTAAGTGGGCTAGTCATTGTAACGTGTGAATTTACATCAAGCGCGAAACATTCACGCATGCGCTAGATTAAATTTGTCGCGACACGTATTCTTGATTATCATCTAAATTGTTGACTAAAATCCATATAATGCCCATGATAAAGGTCTATGGTTTAATGTACGAACAAATAATTATTGCGTCTCCTTCCTTCCCGACGTATATCTCTCTTAAGGTAGAAACCATAAAACTATACATCGTCTGATCTAAGGACTTATATCGATTATTCAAGATGAATTCAAAATAGCAAATTCAGTTATTATTGCGTGAAAGTACCATTGATTATATAGATGAGAAATTATAGTTGAAAGTTTTTACGTATTGTTATATGAATATCTCAATCAAATTAACACGTTGGATTATAACTTCCTCGTTCAATCAGACCAATGTAACCATAAACAAACAACAAAAGCAATGTTAAATAAGCTGCCATATCATCAGAGCTGTGCAATCAAATATTACGGGCGGAAAGGCCAGCTCACGCGCGCGATATTAGCCGTTGGGCAGATGAATCGTCCTTCGTATACTTTTTATCGCATATATAGAAGAAATTGCACTGTGCCGGCCATTTACATTACATGCCGTGATACCGCGAGCGTGCGTGCACATGGCCACACTGATTACGCTTCTGATGAAAGCAACGTCAAAACTCGCGAGATACGTATATACTAGCGGCGGTGAAAGTCCATTCACAGGCACCACTTGCCTTTTAGGAAAAGAAAGCGTTCGTTTATGTTTTACAAATCTTTATTGTCAACAAATGTATATAATATTTCGTCAGTTATGATCCACCAAAACAATGCAATGCTAATTAAAAGAGAACATTCGCTGGGTCAGTGATTCAACCGACTATTTGCTTTGTTATATCTCGGAGTATGTAATCGCTACTATATATATATATATATATATATATGTGTGTGTGTGTGTGTGTGTGTGTGTGTGTGTGTGTATAATAGGAACAAAGAAACATATTATGCTATATAAAGAATGTGTGTATTTCAAGCACTTGCAAATCTAAAGTACTTCGAATACCTGTCAGAAATCTGTTTTACTTAAATCTAAAAATATTTCGCAAACAAGTTTATTTAAAAAGCCAAAAAACGTACTTTGCAAACAATGTAGAAGAACGATTGCGTCGGACTCGTATCGCTGGCGAAAGTTGATGCACTGCAACATAAACTACTCACTCGAACTTGGATTCGCTGTTTTGCCTTCTCTCCTCCTTGCTATACGCGAACTCTGTGGAGGGGACGTCATCACTTCACGGTCACTATTAAATGAAGATTCGACTTTTTCTCTGCTTCCGGCGAGTCAACTAAAGCATGTTGTTTGCTAAGAGTGTTTTTTTGTTGCGCAACTCACGAACGTACATTAATTTGCAACGTCTCTTAACTCACTCAGCTTTTAAAGTTCAAGTTCACCTGTTACCAAAAATAATACATTCATGCTTTAAGGAATTTGTGTTCAAAGCTTGAGAGGATGAAAGAGAAAGTATTTTGGTTTAAATTCAAAATAATAAATAATTATTTTTTTCTTTTTATTGTAATAAGGAATACGTCAGCTAGTATGACACTGGTATCTTGGTGACCTTTAATTTTTTCTTTTACGAAACATTGAAAAGTATAGCATCGTCGTTTATGTCGACTGTGACTCAATTTTATCTAAAGTATAACACTATATGCTCTATATACAATTAAAATGATAAGATCTGTTATGAAAATTGATTTCATATTTTGTGCGAACTATGTATGTACAAGAATTGACTATAAAAAAAATTACTCGTGTACAAGTATAAATATAAGAAAATTTCTAATAATTTCCCTAATTTGAGTCGTGTTTTATTAAATGGAAACGGTACTAGTGGTGTTGTTCATTTCCTCTTGTAGTTGTGCTCGATCACGAACCCTCGAACACATCAAACTATATTCTAAAACTCCAATACGTATGCTCATTTCCGAAATTTCAGATTTCATCTTCCCAATATTTTTCTTGATATTGATCAACGGAGCTAACAAATATATATGCAAATAAATTTGTGTTTAGGAAACGATACAATTATTATTCAAGTAAATAATATAAAAAAGTTGCTTACTTCCATCAGTCATACTTGATCCTCTTTCATCCATCTCTTTTTTAAGCTGATTATAATCATTGCAGAGGTTGTCGTATGCTATTTTTCGTTCCGTCAAATCTCCACTTGCATTTCTATAGCGTTCTTTGATTCTTGAAAGTTCCTCCTAATTAATAGAAAATTCATAATTTTTACTTACACTGACATTGTTATCGTTGACATTAAATTAAACAATAATTTATTACCTGAAGCATTCTCAACTCTTGCAGTTGTGGTTCTAATTGCTGATTTAAATAAGTTTCTCTTGTTTTTATCTTCTCCAAAGCTCTTCCAATGTCAATATGTAGTTTATCTAATTGGCTTGTCGTCGCAGGTAGACTTTTACTCATTATACTATGCAATTTTTTCATTTCCTGCAAATGCGATCTCCAATCTCGATTATCTGCAGAGTAAATATAATCAAAATAATAAAAAACAGTTATATTGAAAAATTTATATAAAAAAATTAAAAATCATTACCTGCATTTACGCTTAATTTCAATTGGGGCAAGACCCGTTCTAATTCTAATTTCCATTCTTCTGCATCAACTGTAGATTCTAAAATTTTTTCAGGTTTTTTACTGATACTCTGAAACAATGCGTAAATTATTTATATATATTTAGATATATATTTGTACTTTCATAGAACATTGTTAATTACCGACGCTTCTTTGTATAATTTCGTAATATCATCGACATGAACAATGTCATCATCTTCATCATCAAAGTCTGCTAACATTTCTTCTTCAACTTTTTCTAAAATAATTTCTGCTTCATCTTCTTCTACTTCTGGTTCCATAATACCTTCATCTGATGGAATTTGAACTCTAAAAAGAATATATTTTCAGTGAGTAAAAATCAGAAATAAATCTTTAGAAATATCAGAAAAATATATATACTTTTTCCATTTAAATTTAAAAGCCTTTATAGCTTGGTCAGCAAGATTATCAAGTACAAACACAGCATGTTCTCCAACTCCTTGTTTTAATTTGTTTTGTGGAATGTCTGTTGTAATTCCAATTTCTTTTAAGCAATCCAAAATTTTTGCAATTGTTGCATTTGGATCATCAGACTCTTGTGGTGGATCAAAATTTTTTCCAGCTTTCCTCACTAACCAAGCAGCTAATGAAGAAAAAGTATGAAATTGTTCTCCTGGATTTGTTGGTATCATAAAATAATGCCTGTAAATAAAAAGCAATAAAATTACTCAACAATATCTTATCAGTTCAAAAATAATTATTGAGAAATTACCTGCTTATATATTTCTTCATTTTTAAATCTTCAACAATTTCATTATCATAATTTAAAATTTTCAACTTTTCCAACAAATCCTCCATTTGTACGTAAGCAGCATATGCTGTAGATGGAGCAGATGGATCTTCAATTAGAAGTTTTGCTGAATTTCGAAACATTTTGTTGTCTTTTGAGAGGACGTTATCTCAGGAATTAATGTTGATAAACCTAATATATTAAATTATTATTATATTACTTTCTTTAAAATAGGGATAAGGAATAATAACAGAAAAAATGAATAGTTATTAAATATAAGAAGTCTAAGAAAACTTTATATTCAACTAAAAAATATTGTTTGCTCCAAAATGTTTACTTTGAAGTAAAAGCAGTCATAGAATGGAGATGTGAATAGAATTAAGAAAATTTTCTGAATTTGAAAATACTTTAATAGATAACGGGGAAAAAATAAATGAGAAACTCTATTGAGTCGTTTTTTAATCAATCGAAAATCCGATACTGTTCTAAATGAATCAGCGTTTTAGAATCGATCAATAGTTACGTTTTTACGTGATTGATACTAAATGCTCTTACCTTTAACAAACGCAAAGAAAAAAGTCCATTATCCTTCGTGCGACGATTGTTTAGCACGAGGACTTGTGTGTTGACTGCAGAATCGCGACATCAACGGAAAGGTTACATATGTATATATGTACATGAGGACGTTTGTCCGTCTCACTCTGGGATGGAAAGTTCAGAAGTGGGACATATCGATAAGCTGGTATAATGCAGCTGTCACAAAGCTACGAGTAAAAAGCAAGGATAATGTGTGCACCTGGCCTCCTATTCAATCGTTATCCTGATCGATTCATGACCCTCTGCATTTACTTTTGCCTTCTTCGTTTTCTTCCTTTACAGCTAACCTATTATTGGCCTTTGCGTGGACGGTTTTGAACAGTTAGGAATCGTATAGAATTGTGAAATCAATTCGTTTGCAGTCCACCTAGCCGTGTTTCTTCAAATTCTTTATTGTTTTCACGGCACGCTCAGCGGTTTGCGACTGCTCTCATGACAACAAAGCTAGAGACTTCGGCGACCTTTCGTTGTCAAGTTAGGTTGTATGTTGTTGTGTAGGTTAGGTGCTACGAATATTTGTAGTTGTACGTAATGTTACCATTCGAAAGTTTGTATCTATAGGGGCTCCAAATCATTTTACTAGATTAGGTTCACGTGTCTCTGTCTCTCGTGACATAGTTCGGGTCCTTACGTCCTTAAGATATATATGGATACAATCTTTCAAACGATAATGCTGCAAAAAACGAATGCGTCAACATTTTTCTAACTATCCTTTATTATTTTATTAGCCTATTAAAGAAAATAATAAACATTTATAGAGTATATTAATCTTTTTTTAGTGATATCTGATGTTCACAGCTAATGAGAATTTTGTACAAATTGTTTATGCAAAATTCATGAAATATCGATATTTTTACAAAAATATTCATGTGTTCATAAAGAAGCGATGTATATATAGTGTTTTTTCAAGGCTATTTGAAATGTATATATGTATATAAAATGAATATAGTGAAAAGCACGATATAGTAGAGCTTTGTAATGTCGACAGTCGATACTCACTATATGCAAATCAAAAGTCAGCAAAAAGAGTGGCATGAAGTGTGCGTCACCGTGTTGATTGTTGCATTTTTTGTATCGCATAATTGTCGATCTAAAGTTTATTCTTGGCTTCTGGCGTACAGTACTAATCACTTGGTGACCATCATAACAAAGCAAAACCAGTGAAATGACATAAAAGAATATATTTGTGTATTGACAAACGTAGTTCGATAATTTTCATTCGCGATGACTTTTATGCCGGAACCGCTGGTATTTGCACTTGCTCTCCTGGACACCGGTGCACTTCTATTTCTTCTTGTGTATTTTGTATCCTTTTGTATTATACATATTACTTTGACAGATATCCAAACAAAAAGGTATAAGTATTATTAATTCTCTTTTAATTGCTAAGCTTTACCATTAGTAAGCGAATGTTATTAATATCTAGGGAATTAGCATTTTTCGTTTTCTACTAAAATAGCGCCACAATTTGAATTTAAAAACACATTGATACTCTGTGCATCATTATTTGTATAAAATTTAATCAATAACTTCTTAAAAACCATAATTGATTTGATAAGCTATTGCTAATTTATTAAGTTTTAATCTTTGTAGTATATTAGATATTGATTAAATACTTGTTTATAAGTGGCCATATCTATTCAAATAACTGTTATATAGACTTAATGATGCTTAAAATACTAGCCTTAACATTTACTAATAGGTAATAACTCTGTCGGATCTAGAATGTGACTATTTGAATGCTCAGCAATGTTGCTCAAGGCTAAATGCGGTATTTTTTCAATTATATCTCTAAATTATATTTGTTCTTTATTATTTTTTACATTGATAAATTTATCTTCTTTTTTTAGTGGGTTATACCAAAGATGATAGCTCATGCAATTTTGTTATGCTTACTTTTTATCAATGGCCAATGGATATTGACATGTGTAAATATACCAATGACATTATGGCTTTTGTATGAAATTTTTGCTACTCCTGGAGGTAACATGGGAGTATATGATCCAACAGAAATCCACAATAGAGGCCAATTAAAAAGGCACATGAGAGATTGTATGGTTTATCTAGGATATTATTTATTATTCTTTTTCATTTATTTGTATTGGTGAGTAATACTAATAAATCTCTCATTTTCTGCACACTTATAACTCTATTAAATATCATAAAATTTTCAGTTTAATTGTTTCGCTGTTGAAAGGTGACCCAATTAATAGATATGAAGATGACATGGTGGAATTTTAAGTTAACTTAAATAATTCTCCAGAAAATAATTTCTTGATTTGTTTGTATCTTTGTGATATGTCGAATGCTGTTCATACAATATGTTGTTGCATATCTGCAGATGCTAGTGAGGTACCACATTGCATGACGGTTTTGGGAGTGCCAAATGGCTGATTCACTAACCTACCACGTCACACGTGCAAAGCCTTTACATGTTGTGTGGAACATATACTAGTATATATCTAGTATATATTAGTATGTATCTATTACAAGTATATATCTAATGGTCTAAAATTTGTTATACAATTTGTTTGGTAATTTCTAATTGCGTACTTGAACGCCAATATTGTAGGTATGAGTATAGTGAGTAACGTCCACGTGCGCAATTGACAACTTTGTTTGGCTTGTTACACAATCTATACTATTTTGTAGCATTTTCACTATAAAGAATAAAAAATCATCACGATGAAAACGTACCCCCTAAGGAATAAGGCTGAAACACTTATATTTGATGGCGTGTATAATTTATTTTATTTCTAGTCCTTATAATTCTGTTTCAAATTTTAATATTGTAATATAAAAAATTTTTCTGTGGAAACAATGCAGTTACTGAATTGAAAAAATATTTTTGTATCAACATTATACAGTTATTAAAAAAATATAGAACAGTTGAGAATGAAGGATTTGCAGTGACTTAATTTTTTATTCAGGAATGAAGTTTTACATAAATTACAAAAATTTGCGAAGTTTAACATGCTGAGCTAATTTTATCAGATTCAGCAGTTTTCAACTGACGACGATAAATTAAACAGGACAAAAAGCTTAGAGCCTTTAGTCTTTTGTACTATCTTTACCTCGTTCTTTCCTTTCATCACGCTACATCACTTATTCACATTTGTTTGTTCGACCGCCAAGTCAAGTGGTACCGGGAAGGTTTTTGTTTCTGTATAGCTTCAATATTTTTCAAGTCACGTACGAGTTCTTTTTGTTTATTGTGTTTGCAACGTGCGTTAGGCATTACTTGAACGTTAATTTTTTGTATGCATTTCCGCTTTAATTTGAAGGTAAAACAAAACAAAATAATAGTTTAATAAATGGCGCACGTTATTTGCGTCTAATCAATTACGATTTTTAATTTTGTATATCGACAATTAATAAATTAATTTTCTATAGTAAATGTACTTTCATAACTGCTAAGGAACATGTTCACGAATCCGAAACAGTAATAAAATTATTTTAATAAAAAATTTTATACATTATTATACATATCCAATACCTTAATAATTCAAAATAACTTACAATCAAATTCTTGTATTTTATTTGCTTGTGTTCTATATTTGATATGCAACTGCATTTCAATCTAATAAAGAAATGAATATTTTTCGTTCTAATTCATATAGAAGTAGAGTAGACTTGATCAATATTCTATTTTCGTAAAAAAACTTGTTTTTGTGATTATCTGCAATACATAGTCTACGTAATAACCTCTTAGAAAATGCGATTTATATACCAGATATATGTCAATTCCACGCGATCGCAGATTTAAGGGAAGATAGAAAATGAAATGAGAAGGCTCTAAAAATAACTTGAGACTTGATATTTTTCATATAATTACACTGAATCATGAAAACAAATACTTTAATATAAAATATTCAATTGCTATAATTTATGTTATGGTTATGTGAAAGGAATTTGTGATCTTACGAGTATAATCTCCGTGACAAAGAACAAGACATTGATTTTTATTATACGAGTTCCGCAAGCAGTTTGTACAGTCATGAATTTTTCGAAATATTCGTTATATTCTAAGTAAAAAATATCTTTGTTGAATATAAAATAAGAATATATTTAATATTGTCTTTGTGAAACATTAAGATAAGGAGAAATGTATGATTATAAAAGTTTTCATTCGATGTAAAAGTTATCCCAAAATACGAAAAATGTACTTTCGCGCTTTCAGATGAATATGTCGTACGGAATGCCAGTTATTTCAGTTAGCGCAAATATTCTTCCCCAAGATAATTGAGCTATCTGAAAAACAGTATGATTTATATGAGCACCATATTTTCTGGCTCTAAATTATTTTATTTTTAATGTAGCCAATATATGAATTAAGCGTGCACATATGAAATGTAACTTGTACATTTCTTGAATGTCTACCGTGTACAAAGTGTACAAAGATAGAAGTTAAAAAGGTAGGGTATACGTATAACATAAATAATTCATAACCTTACATATCACGGGGAAGACGAATATAAGGGCTCAACTGATCAAACACCATTCGGGGTCAAAGCAGGCGGCTTGCTAGTGTTTTATAAATCCATACACCAGTTTACACAGGTCGTATAAGCATGCGACTTTTATCGATCTTTCATTTGTTTTTATTCTCCAGCACCGCAAAAGAAAATTTGATTCATGCGGGCGGCAATTAAAACTTATTGCTCTCGGACTGTTAGCCACGCAGACGCTGGAGCAAAGTTCCATTAAATTAGACCAGCTCAGTTTGTGTACGAAGTTTGGTAAAGCGCTAACTATGTATGATTAGTCCAGTGATTTCTGAGAACGAATGGGAAAAAACAAGATAATAAATACGATTTTAGTGCGATCGATAAAAGCAATTAGTCGTTTCGAAATTGTCTTTTCTTAGTATAAAACTCAGAGAAATCGCGAGAGGTATTCTCGAATAAAAGTTCATTTTAGAGCAAACCGAACTTGGTTGGACTTGATTAATTGCAGATTTAATTTGATAGAACTGTCAATAAGTGAAAAGCAGTGCTCTTGAAAGTTGACGGCGAGCACGTGCAATATTAAAACCCGTCGTCCGCTGAGGAATTTAATCAATAAAACAAGGCGTTCAGTCGCGATTCGAGCTCGAAAGTACAATTGATTAAAGCGTTAAATGCATATGGGTCGGTGTTGCGGCGCCGCAATAGTGTCAAAGTATATTATTAGCTTGGAAGCTTGGCTTGGCTGGCGCGTAAAAATGCAAAAACCCAGCGCTCGCGCCAACCAATTGGAAATCGAAAGTCGCAATACACGCGCTTAGCACACATTTATTGACGCGCGTTTTTCGCTCCAACACATAACTACGCAATGTTCCCGTTTCAGCGAAATGCAAATTCAGAATTTTCACGCTACGTTGCTCTGGCGCTCATTAGCTTATAAAACGTCGGCCTGACGTAAGTCCTTCGCCCGAACTCGCTCATTATTATCCGAGAGCTTGCGGCAGCTTATTTTCGAGCGTCGCGCCACGACAAAATCAATCCGACGAACAAACTTCGCCAGCTGCTGTACGTGCGTCTGTCAGTCTGTGCTGGTATACATCATGCGCGCTCGATGCCTTTCATCCTTCCCTTCCCCTTATAAATTAGCTTGCATACATTCATCTATATACTTTTTCTCTTTCTCTTTGAAAAGGAATAGACGCGCCCCATTCAGCTATTGCCCTTTTGATGCTGCTATCTCCCTTCTCCTTGCCATGCAATTAGGTTGATTCTTTTATTCATGGATTTTTCATTTATCAGATTCTTTTTGCTTGCCTATATATCCGTGCTCTACGGTACGATCATATATCACCTCACCTCATTCGCACCATTTATTCAGTCGAACTTTATATTGATGGATAAACGCTGTTATCCCTTCGGAAAAAAAAGAAGGAAGATTAGCGCCCGCAAGCTTTCTCGGCTCAACTTTCAATATGTATTGGTATTGAACTATTCGGTTTACAACGTCGAATGCAATCTCATTTTTATTTCCATCACACATAGCTACATAAATTTTATTTGAAGTGAAACTTGGACAGTATTGACTGTGATCAAGAAAAAAAGGGCTGTTGAATATTTGACCATGGAAATGCCGAAAGTTCAGAGCTTTTTCGAACGAATGAATGGACCTGCCGTTAGAGAGGCGGATCAATTATGTTTACGTATCAACAAGTTGACATCAATTTGGCGCTTAAAAAATCAAAATAGATTTTCTCAGAATGTGCAGTGAACGACATGTGTCAGAGTGCAAATAATAAAGAATCATATGGAAAAGCTACTTACTGTATTTTTGTATTCGAATGCTAAAGCTATTTCTTCGATGTATACGTATTCAATTCCCGGCTATAAAAGTGTCACTAAATTCTGTTAAGTGCCATTTTTCAATTCAAGTTCAAAAAGCGACACCTCGCAAATAGCAATCGTGTCGCGTATGAATATATATTAGACCAAGGCATCAGCTAAACGAGCGAGGTAGAATGTAAGCTGAGCGTTGTCACTTATACGCTATAAATTTTCCGTAAACTTCTCTTGGACCAGGCGCAAAGTGAAAGCTTCGTTCTTCTCGAAAAAAAAGAAAAGCTCTAGTACATTCATTAGATCCGTCATCAATTTCCATTAGGTCAGTTATACTCTCTTCTCCGATATAATGTTTCTGTTTATTAAGCAGAAAAAGTCGAGGTACATGTGTACGTATGTTTATCGTCCAAAAAATCGTGGCGATCAAACCTTCTTTTAGAAATTTTAAAATCTTAGTCGAGCTTCTCTCTTCTCTTATAGTGCCATCGTTTTTTGCGCATACTCGCGCGCGCACAACGTCATAAGCGCACACATCAACAGTAACATATACAGTAACCGCGGTGGAGCGCAGGCGCCAGTAGCAGAAGACGGCAAGAAGAACCTATCTAGCCTACGCTGTGAGCCGTCTGTCTCTGAACCGAGAACTGCCGAGAGAGAAAAATAGTCGAGTTGCGGTAGTGGTTGCGCTCAAGAGTCGTGCGAGCCTCCTGGTGTGTCTGCAATACGAGACCACACGTAGTTTGAGCTAAGAAGAATAAGCTCAACCGAGACAAATATATAATAACAATAATAATAATAATAAACGCGCACACATTCACATAGCAGTTAGTCTTCGTGTGTGCCCTCGGCCTCGTAATACACCTGACGCAGTTACAGTCTCTTTCTCGCGCGCGCTCTCTGTGTATATTCACCAGTTTTCGGGGAGGAGCTCCCGCGCCAGCGCCGTACTAGTCGCAGCAGCCTCAACTCCTCGCCGTCGTCTGTCTGCTTGTCTGTCTGCTTGTCTGTCTTTGCACAAGTGTTGAATATTGCAGTAGCTCTCTCTCACTCTCTCTCTCTCTCTCTCTCTCTCTCTCTCTCTCTCTCTCTCTCTCTCTCTCTCTCTCTCTCTCTCTCTCTCTCTCTTCTCTAGTCAGGATGTCCGTCCTTGCGATCCAGTGCTTCCATTTTTGACAACCGCGGATAGCTTCCTCTGCAATCTCTCTGTATCCCTGTCAACATCTCAGACAGGTGATCATCAGCTCCCTATCCTCACCCTCATTATTTATATAGCGCCTACATAACTTGTTTAAGTGGGCTCCCTCTTCTTCGTTATATTAGCTCTGAACGCTATTTTTTGTTAGATTACCGTGCCTTTCAGTATGCTGTACACAGCTTGATTTCTCGCTGCACAGAGAGACATTATATATTTTGAATCTAACATATCATTTAGCCAGAGTTGAAATTCTAGCTGGCAGTGTTTTCTTTCAGCGCTTTTATATTCGCGTAATTGTTAAACACAACCAAGCTTGCGTTGGCTCTCTCAAATAAATAGACGCATAATATACCTTAAAGCGAATTTTAAAGCGAATCGTTTTCTCGCCTTAACTCGCAGTGCTTTGACTGTTTCTGCCTCAGTCATACTGCTGATTGGTTAGAATTACGCAAAAATTGTTGCTGTTTTTAATTGGCTAGAGTTATATGCTTCATGTATTTACTGAAGTATTACTGTGTAATGAAGGATACAAGTAGGTTGAAACTTAATGTTCCTTTTTAGTTTGGTCAATGTTGGGCAAGGTAGATCTGTGTACCCAAAACATAACGGCAATTGTATTGCCCATGGGTAAGCTCAAGTCAAGATTGTAATAGGGAAACTTATAACTAAGCAAGTTATCTTGTGGTGGAGTTCATTAATATTTATACCTTTGAGTGGTTTCATCTAAGTCAAAAGAATCAAACATAAAAATGGCAAGTACCAAATCAGCAGAGAACGCTGTTCAAACTAAACCCATTGAAGTGTCTCAGCAGCTCCAGGATGGTGAAAAGTTTGTCAAGTGGGACGAGGTAAGATATTTTTTTATTTTAGAATGACTTATAATGTTGCATACACTTTTTGCAAAATTTAAATACAATCATTAGACTCAGAAAAAGTACATCCATTAGAGAGTGGATAGATATATCTTCACATTTTTAAGAGTGATAACCGTTATTTAAAATGATTGCTAAACAGTATCAATGTTATGTTCTGAAGTTTAATAAGCCTTAAGAATTCTTTTCTAATCATTCTTTTTATATCAAACATTCAAAGAACTATCATGTTACTTGTATATATAATAAACGTATTTAAGGAGGTGAAGAATACTTTCATAAAAAGCATGTATCACTTAATTTTACATCAAAGAGGAAATAATTAAAAATAGCAGTAGTTATAGTTCAATTTGCAATAGAAATTATAAATATATCCTTGGTAATTAAAATGCTACTGAACTAGTGATATACCTAATTAGAAGTCCAATAAATGTAGATAAAATTTCTTGATTTGATCAAATTTTGAATTGACCCCAATTGTATCCTTATTATGCTTGAAATTAGGATTCAGGAATAGCAACACCAGTCACTCTCAAAGTGGACAAAAATGGTTTTTATTTGCACTGGATAGATCAGCACAACGAAATGGATATGCTTGATATAGCTATAATTCGTGATACACGAAATGGAAAACATGCTAAAATACCCAAGGTGATTACTGACAGTAAAATTTATGAACTTGGATTCATAATGTTGCATGCATGCATCTCATGATAGTCATTGATTGTTATTAAAATCAATTGTGCATGTATTCAACTGTTTTTAATTTTATTTAACACAGCATATCATTCTATTGCATTTCTGCATGGATATTAACATTGCACAATACTTTAAATTAACAGTTATTGCAAATTTATAATTAGAGTATGTGTACATATGCAAACATATTATCTTGTTTATTGATTTGCTTTAAATTTAGTGTATATCGTTTTTAAATTACTTATGTTAATGATAAGTTGAGAAATATTTGCATAATTGTACACAGGGTCATTCAGGACTTATTTATTATATAATCAATTTAAATACTATTTGACAAGAAAAGATTTTATTGATATTCGTTATAGAATTGATTGAACGTTGAAGCATGATTTTACTTTTTACATAATATACTCAATGTTTAGACATAACACAATATAACTTATATGTTTGATTTCTTAAAAAAATATTATTCTCAATGTTATTTGGTTTAAAGTAATTAGCTAATCTATGTATATAGTTAATGGAAAGTAGAGTTATTTTTTTCATGAATAATTTATCTAAAATTCAATAAATTTGTTATACTTGGAAAATCTTGTCTGCAAGTAGTTATGCATAGTACATTTTTTTTATTACTAAATTACTCGTTCGCAACAATAAATTGATGTAGTATCTTAGCATTGATTTACATAAAAATTTTCGTATCGTTGTATTGAGATATTTTAGATTCTGAATTATAATTATACGCAATTTAATAATTCTATGTTATACGTTGAAGATTTAGAAATTTTAATTTGATTTTCAGCTTTTCGCTTTGTACTCGTATTTTAATTAAAAAATCTTCATTAAATACAATTAGCTTTCTAATTTGCTTTCTTGACATACATGTGACTCTAGTGAAAGAAAATTAAAAGTTGGTGGGGTAGTTACATTGAAATAAATCGTACGACAAATTTGCAGGATCCAAAGTTAAGGAGCCTTGTAACAATGGGCTCTCAAGATTCTTTAGAAGACAAGACTATTACTATCTGCTATGGTTCGGATTTTGTAAACGTGACTTTCATTAATTTCTGTACAACTCGTGCTGATATTGCGCGTCACTGGACCGATCAGATTCTCCACTTGGCTTATAATCTCACACAGCTTAATACTAGCACAATAATGTTCTTGCAAAAGGCGCACACAAAATTGACATTATCGGCTGATAAACAGGGAAACGTACCTGTCAAAAAGTAAGTTTTATGAATTACTCTCTGCTCTCCATTTCGATTTGACGCAGGTATTACGACGAGTGCTCTAACGGATTTTTTGAAAAAAAAAAAGAACTCAGATTTACGTTTAGATTTTGTAATAATTAATTCTTGTAAGTTAGATATACAGTTTCAGGGATTCAACATTCGTATTTGCTATTTCAAGCTTTTCGCAGTATTTTTTACGATTAAATTAATAAAATGTAAAATAGACCAGATATTTGTGTTTTCTTATACATGCTGAAACTCACAAACTTTTTATTCACTGATAAAGCCTTTTATATATTCCATTATTTTAACAGCACTACTCAACGTATATGATAACTAATCCATTTTTAAAGCTTCGATGTCTAAGCTTCAATTCTTCTCAATTCGCAGGCAGTTTGTTTTAACGTCGTCATATTCTTCAATTAGAATACGAAACAATAATGAATTCATTGTTTTAGCATCGTAAAGATGTTCACGCAAAACAAAGATGACCGAAAGCGCGTGGAGAAGGCACTCGACATATCCGGCTACGCGTCAGGCAAGAACGACTCAATTCCACTGCAAAAATTCCAATTCGAGGAATTTTTTAACTTTTACAAGTCGCTGACGCAACGTTCGGACGTGGAAAAAGTATTCGACGAGATAGTGGGCAATCCGAAGCGCAAGCTGATGTCAGTGCCGCAATTCGTGAAATTTCTGAATGAAACGCAACGCGATCCACGTCTTAATGAGATCCTCTATCCTTATGCCAATGATGCACGCGCCATGGAAATAATCGATCAATACGAGCCCAATAAGCACAACGCCCAAAAGGGCCAACTAAGCTCCGACGGATTTCTTCGTTACTTGATGAGCGAGGATAATCCCATTGTTGCCGTGTCCAAATTCGAACTGTCCGACGATATGGATCAGCCGCTCGCTCACTATTTCATCAATTCTAGTCACAATACTTATCTCACCGGTGAGTTTGCGCGCAACAAATCTTCAATCGGAAAACACCTTTACACCCTGACGGCCAAACTGATGTAGAATAACTTTGATTCGTTCGCAGGTCATCAATTAACTGGCAAAAGTTCGGTGGAAATATACCGGCAATGTTTGTTAGCCGGCTGTCGATGCGTCGAACTTGATTTCTGGAATGGTAAATTCGACGAACCCGTCATTGTTCATGGGTAAATATTCTCATTTATTTCCGGCAAAAGGCAAAACTCTCAGTCTGAGACTCGGTCAATTATTGCTCCGTTAACAATTTGCAGCTACACTTTCGTACCTGAGATCTCAGCTCGCGAAGTTATCGAGGCGATAGCAGAGAGTGCCTTTAAAACATCCGAGTATCCTGTGATACTTAGCTTCGAAAATCACTGTAACCCAAGGCAGCAGGCTAAAATTGCTCAGTACTGCAGAGAGTACTTTGGTGAAATGCTACTTGAACAGCCCCTCGAAACACATAAGGTAACTCGCTAACGTTACAATATATACTATATATAATCAAGAAAGACACGCTTCTTCGTATATTCGTCAATTTACTGCAAGTTGATGTGATCAAAATTAACCTTAGAAAATTTGCGATGACAAGGCATCAAGATAAATAGTCGCGAGAAACCCTTACTAAACTGCAGTTTTTCATAATTTGTAGTTAGAACCCGGCCAAGAGTTACCACCGCCGTCGCTCTTGCGAAAAAAGATAATAATAAAAAATAAGAAAAAACATCATCACCATCATCATAAAAAACACCAAAAAAAGCAGCAGCAACAGCAACAGCTGCAGGCTCAAATAGAGGGCAACGAGGGAAATGCTGAGGCCGGCCAAGAGAACGGGAACGAAAGTCAAGCGAGTAAAGGAGAAAATGGTCCCCCACCCGATATTATTCCGCAAAGTGAAGTGGTTGATGGAGTTGTTGTGGGTAATGGAAATGGCGAGAATCAAATAGGAAATGGAGACATTCATCCGCCTATGCTACAACAACGACAGGGTAGCAAGGATAGCACGCAAGATGACGACGGTACGTTATTTTATTTTGTCAACTAATGTTTTTCTTTGTATATTTTTCATTAACTAAAAATGATTTGTCTTTTACAACATCAAATCAATTTCAATATTTCTAGATGACGACGATGAATCAAGCACCGAAGAAGATGAATCGAATGTTGAAGATGGCAAAGTGAGACTCAATGACAAGGATCAAGTTGCCGATAAAGTAGCTGCTGCAAAAGAAACAGAAGCTGGAGCTGAAATATCAGCTCTTGTTAATTACGTTCAGCCTGTTCATTTCACTAGCTTCGAACATTCCGAAAGTAAGATGTTTTTAATTTTTATTAATTATTCATAGGAATTATTAACATTTCATGTAGAATCTTTTCGTTGAATATTTGTAAATGTAAATTTACACTTGACCTCATTATAAAACGTTAAGAATATCATTATTCCATTAATATTCATTGATCAATCCATGCTAAGCACATGTTTAATGGTATAATGCACAATATGCATCAGAAGGGAATATGTAATTATAACACAAGTGCACATACGGTCAACACTTTCTCGTTTACAAAGGCCACATTTCGATCGATGGCCTTCTTTGATGACCCCGAAATAATAAACCGGTTACTCATCCATCTGCGATACGTTTTGAGAATTGATTCCTTTTCGATGAAATCGTATTTTTCATTTGCATTTTAATTCTTTAAAACGTTTTGTAGCCACTAGTCGACCCACAGGTTTTTTATATAACATTTACAATAACTAAAATAAGAGATGATTTAAAAAATAATCGTTGCCAATTCTTTTTACGTAAAAGTGTCAATAGACTTGTAAAATGAAGAGGACCAAGAACAACAAGGAGGTCGCGATGAAAGTAGCTCAATTTCTTAAAGAATCCTGGCACAACGAGGGGCACGTTTCCGATAGTGTCCGTCTATTTTGGATAATGCTCGGTTACATCAATCCAGGCTCTTCAAGTAATCGCCGTTATGTTCGCCTTTCATTTCGTCGGTGTCGCTTGTTTCATTGTGATGCACACTCTTATTATCAATTGAATGCAAGGCATCACTTTCGTCTTCGGTCAGCGAATCTATCCTTCTATTACGCGGGCTGCATTTTGAGAATGTGAATTGGGTAATTTCGAATGACTTTTACGGTAAAATTTCTGAATTTTTACTGATCGAATTATCATTCAACAATTTTGAAATTTTTAAGTGATTAAAATTTATTTACAATTTCATTAAATTTTTATCACAAATTTCTAATTTCATATTTTGAAATAAAATTAATAGTATTACGAGCTTTAGATACGTAAAAGCTTCATTAATGTGATCTAGCAGGCGTATGTCTATATAATAACAGTAGAGATAAACATTGTTGAAAACTACGAAAATTGGGTCTGGCTAGATTGTTCTTTTTTCCTAAAATCAAGATAATTTGTGCAATAAAATTGTGGTAAAAAATTATTAAGATATTAATTTACAGGAAAAAATAGAACTTATGAAATGTCATCTTTTGATGAGAAACAAGCCACAACTCTTTTGAAAGAACGACCATTGGAGTTTGTCAATTATAATAAACATCAACTCTCGAGAGTTTACCCGTCGGGAACACGATTTGACTCGAGTAACTTTATGCCTCAAGTTTTCTGGAACGCAGGATGTCAACTTGTTGCTTTGAATTATCAGACTTTAGGTAATGTTTTTCAAAATCCTATATATAAAATTTCTTAATTTATAAAGTTATATAATTATAAACAGTACTAGTAAAACAATAAAAGTTAAATTTATTTTTACTTTGCTTTAGATCTTGCTATGCAACTAAATTTAGGAATTTTCGAATACAATAAGCGATGCGGCTATTTATTAAAACCTGAATTTATGCGTCGAAAAGATCGTCCGTTAGATCCATTTGCTGAATCTGCTGTAGATGGAATTATTGCTGGAATGGTCCGTATTCATGTTATATCGGCCCAATTCTTAACAGATAGGAGAGTCGGGACTTACGTAGAAGTCGATATGTATGGCCTTCCGGCCGACACAGTTAGAAAGAAGTTTAGAACGAAAACCGTTCCAAATAATGGTATTAATCCAGTATATGATGAAGAGCCATTTATTTTTAAAAAGGTAAAATGATATATTAAAATTTTATTCTTTTATAATATTTTTTATATAAGAGCCATTTAGCTTTAATTGAATTCTGACAATATAATAATTTGAATCACTTAAATAAAATATAGTCCAAAGAGCGCTGAAACAATAAGCTTTTATAGACTCTACTCTTGGAAAGTTTAATTATTCATAAAAAAACGCTGCCTTAGCACGACTTATTTAAAAAGGATAAAGCTTTTAGTATTTTTAAGAATAAATCATTGCAATTAATTTATCGATAATCAATAATCTAAAAATATATGACACCTATGTCAACCTTTTGATGATGATCGTTTTTTTCGCATAACCAATTAGTACTGAAAGTATCAATCTCAACCAATAGTCAGTCAAGTGATTATATTTATAGATAGTATTACCAGAACTAGCATCGATACGAATAGCAGCATACGAGGAATCTGGCAAAATGATCGGGCATCGAGTTCTGCCCGTGGTTGGCCTTTGCCCAGGCTATCACCATGTGGCATTGAGAAATGACATTGGTCAGCCCCTTCCGTTGGCGAACCTCTTTATGCATGTCATTGTTAACGATTACGTACCGGATGGTCTTAGTGATTTTGCTGAAGCTCTCGCCAATCCAATCAAGTATCAGAGTGAACGTGAAAAGAGAGAAAAGCAATTGGAAGTGCTCCTTGATGATTTGGAAGAGCCAAAAGAAGGAGAAGTCGAGGTATTTTATAGTTATTTTTGAATATTAAGCTATGGTGCTATTAAACTATAACTATGCGTTCTTTAATAACGGTCTTACAGCTTTTAGTTAGTTTATTAACCAAGTTATTACAATTATTTATAAACATCTTACAATATATGATTTTATATCACTGAATTTGCTTATTACGTGTATTTTCGACTATTTACTAGTATAATTTTATTAGATTCGTACACTTCAGATTTTATTTCATTGATTTTAAGATATAACATTCACATTCTATCAAATGTTTACTTACATTATTCAATTTAAATGAAATTATATGAAAATTGTGTACATATGTCTTAGAAATATGAATAATCTAACAAACTCTTATAGATTAAAGAAAAAGTTAAGGAAAAAGGTGGCAGTGGACCAAGTTCCTCTAAGCCAGCCGTGAGTTCTTAAAGGTTTTGTGATCTTTAAATAGGAAATATCAATAAAAAAATAATATCTTTTCCTTTTATTTTTTCAACTTCTATCATTGTACTCAAAGTAATTTAAAATTAAATATTCATTTTCTTCGAAGAAGATATATATTATTTAATAATAGTTTAATATTTTTGTTTAATCGTTTTAAAATTTCCTATCTAAAGATGAAAATCACCTACTATATTACAAATTTAGTAAACCACTATTTTCTATTCAGGACGAGAGTTCAAAGTCAAAAAGACACCAATCGATCGGAGAGCTGCCGGGATTAATACCAAGTACTGGTAGTCCACAGGGAAGACCTTCAATAGGTGCGATAAATACATCTGATTCTCAGGAGATAGAAGATGGCGGGACCTCGTTGACTGTAAATATTGCCGATGCTTCTTCCAATAAGAGCCCCTTGAACGCCAGTATGAGTAAGTATTTATCAGAGGAAAGTCGAATTCTAGAACAGCTCTGACTTTTCCTCAAAAAAGGTTCTTTTTCTATAGCATCCGAAGAGATCATCGCCGAGCCTTTGGACAAGTTTATGGAAAATAAATTGGTAAAGGAGAAGAAAAGTGAATTAGAGAAAAAATTGGAATCTTTAAGAAAGAAACAAGAAAAAGTATTTATAATTATTCTACTCACTATAAAAATTCGTTTTACAACTTATTAATTTTTTGGCTCACGTTTGCAGGAGAAAGTACGGGTACAAAATGCCAAGGGCTCTGTTGATGGAGAAAAACATAAATCCAAATTCGTAAGCCACAAAATTTTGCAACGTTTGTCCAGTAAAAACATGTACGTAGAATATTTATTATCAATTTGATTAATGTTGACAGTAGAGGTAGCTGTTGTTCGAATGAACAAGTTTTATTCTTCTATCTCAAATAAAGATGCTGTTTCAGCTTTTCCAGTGAAGTAGCTCTAAGTACCATGGCTCTACCTGAAGCAGCAGAGTCAGTTGAGGTGGATGGCAATGATAGTCTTCCGAAAGGATTACCGCGAAGTCAGAGCGAACGTTTGCTCGCAGTTTGTCGAGAGCATGTTCAGCAAGAGCGTGAGTTGCAAGAAAAGTATTACGAAAGTATGTTCAATACATTGGACAAAATTATGAAGTCCTCGCAGTCCAGTCAGTTGAAGACACTTCAAGCTCTTTACGAGCGGGAAACTGTTGATGTAAAGCGGAAGTTACAAGCTATGAGACATGAAGAGGTATATTAAATACAATATAAAATTAGGATATTACAATTTCAATTAATTTCCAGCAAATATTTGTGTTTAAAATGTTGACATATTACTATCGTTACATTATATCAACTTAAATTAAACAATAGGTAAAACAGTTAGCCAAAGTTCACAAAGATAAAGCTGAGTTCGATCGTATGAAGAGGGAGGTAGCAAAATCAACCGTGGAAAAAGGAGTTAATGAATGCACAAGATTGACAAAGATTTATGAAAAAAAAAGAGTTGAACTGGAAAAACAGCACGAGGAAGTGAGACAAAAATTGGAAGAAGAAAAAATTAAGGTAATTTGTCTTCAATTACGTAATGAGTTATTAAAACTTTTATTAAATTACTTAAAATTAAATTACTTAAAATTCAATATATAATCGAATTTTTTACTAATGATTGTAAATGAAAATTTTACGTTTCTTATTCGTAGGTACGGGCAGCTCTTCAGGCAGAATTCAACAGCCGTTGTAGCAAATTTGAAAGTGGCGAAGATTTGTCTCCAACAAATGATGGCCCGGAAGTCCCTGAAGGTGTCAGTGAAAAGACTTACTAGCAAGAGGCCACTGGACATTCTGGTTGGTTGCGTTGTTTCCAACGAAATAAAAGTCAATGATGGGATATATTATTTCAACGGTGGGAATCCGTTTTGATATTACGAGAAAAGCCTCTCCGTGAATAGGCTCTATAAATTGACCTTGAGAAGCTTATTAAAATAATAATACCCTGACAGGATATATGAAGACAGTTGTATTTTTGGTATATTTAACATTCCAAAATCGTGTAAAACTGATCTTCGATGAAATTGTATAATTGTCAAAGTCACTCAATGAGAAAGAGGAAAGTGTTTGATTTAGCGACGTTGTCATCACGAATTGTAAAAGCAATGAAAACGTTTACGCATAAAACACCACTTCATTAATATTTGACTCATAGTCACAGTATTAAATAATTAAAATATAAGCAGAGAACCTTTTGCAAACAATAGAAGATTAAGGTTGATGATATGCTTAAAAAACAAAAAAACAAAACAAAAAAATCTGGTTGATGAAATAAAGTTATTTAAGGTGAAAAAGAGATGTACTTATACGATGGGAATGTGATTTTAAGTAAGTGTAATCTTTGTAAAATATAATTATGAATCTTGTTGTTATATGTATAAGACGTGATACCTCCACTCAGCTTATATTGATAAACTTCGTACAAGAATTTTGTCAATAAAGTATAAATTTGTTCGGGTAATAAAACCAGACCCGCATAGAATCTCATCGGCCTAGCGGAGTCTTCAGGTTTTGAGTAATGTGTTAGGAAAAACAATACAATTATTCGATTTAATATTTTTTGTTAGCTAAGGCGTTCGTCACCGAAATTCATTGTGAGTCGATCTATAGAAAGTATATTTTTTAAGATAAAATTAATTGGAAAAATATTGATTTGTAAACAGTTAATTAGGAACCTTAACTTTTTGTGAAGGAGCTCTAATGAGATATTTTTTTACGGTAAAATAAATTTTGGATGTTTATTTAAAAAAAGGAAAGTCAAAGACGATTTAAACTAAAAAAATGGACGCGTTATCGAAAATAATTTAATTATCAAACAAGTCTCCGTAGACTAATTTTTTCAAAACGACAATCAAAAATGTTACACGTGTAAATATTAACACTGATGTAATATTTTCCTCGTTAACATTAATTTTTATGAAGCGTATGTATGAGGAAGTATAAAATACAATTTATTGAAAAAAATTCTTATAAATTGAAAATATGAAAAGTAAAAATATGATACAGATAATAATATTTATAATTCTTATTCAGATTAAAATATATATCAGGATAAATTCCACATAGTCGTGATATTAATGTACTACTATGCATAGCATAAAATTTTTAATTCTACTCGCTGCGGTTATAAAGAATAGAAAAATTTTCAAAGATGGAATGATATATATGCAGAACTAAAGTTGAAGCATATGCAGAATTAAAGTTCAAGAACTAAAAATAAAGCTATTTTCAAAAACTGCTTCTCGTCCTTCAGTAACAGAGTATAAAACTGACTAATATTAAACATGTTGTTTTATAGACGCGACGCGTTGTGATATTAATGGATCTCAAAGCAATCGTAGGATCGCTGTGTAAAACTTAATTATATGTATGCGCTCAGCGAGAGGAAAGATAATAGTGTGATGCGAAAATAGTCAAACGCTTGAAGTTATAAAGCGTTTTATCATTGATGGATTCATTTACAAATTGAAATAATCATGAATTGTTGGTTTATGCGTGTTAATTATTTTCTACGATAAATTATTTTTTAAGAATTGTTTTCGAATTTTTTCAAGTTAACTATTACAAAAAATTGGCATGCTCAGTAATACTATATATTAAATATATTGTATATATTGAAGCAATATGCTATGATATACGAATTCCAAAATATATTTATGTTTATATTGAATGTCAATTATATTTTTAAGGATTATACGTAATTTCTTCCAAATAATATACGCATCTTTCGAAATGTTGTGCTCAAATTATTTAATGAACTATGCTTCATTTGCTATGCGTACATTTTACTGAGTATGCCATTGTACGAAAAATTTTCATTATCGATTACACTTTGTACTGACAAATTTTAAATAAAATACATACGTTTTTTATTCTTTATCGGTACAAAGTTCTTCAATTAAAATATTTTGTCATATCAATTTATTGAAGCACAAATACCGATAAAAAAGCTAAATAAATATGTATTTTCAAATTTCCGCCATATACAAAAGAAAAGATTGTTGACGTTTTTGAGCTTCCTCCGCTATCAGCGTTAATTCTATTGTGAAGGTTATTACTAGTTATCAAATTATATATCGAAGGAAATCTAAATGGAGATTTTCTATAAAAGTGAACTATGTATTTATTGTGGTGAGTATACAGCGAAAAGTTATAATATAAATTAATTAAATTAATATGTAAAGAAATAACTTATAATTACGGTACGCACTCGATTTATGATATTTTCAGAGACACAATGCGAAATTTCTTGAATCTCAAAAAAAAATTTTTACTTTTGATATATACATATTTTTCAGTTACTTTTAAGACCGCTAATCTCAGCAACTATATATCATTACGTTTTATGCGTGAACTGTAGCAAACTGTTAGAACATATAACAATGAATCAAGAGAGCATAAATTGAAATATTATTACAAAGAAAGAAAGGAATGTAATGTTCTGTTCTTCCAATTACAAAAGGACTTCCATGTAACTTAAACTTGAACGTTAAGCATCTTAACGTTAATGGTTTCTCTTTTTGTTATTTAAAAATTTGTGTAAATAGATTAAGAGGAATAATAACAAAGCTAATAATTACTTTATAAACTTCGCGTTAAAATATTATTATGTGTTATTGCTGTTGATGTTGTTGAGCATATATAAGCGTATAGATATATAAGTTATGTCTTCTGTAATCTCTTACGCGAAATTCATGCGATAGAACTTATTAAGTAAGAAAATCGCCAATGTAAATAAGCACATCTGAATATTATAAAATATAATGTTTTCATGAATACGCATCGAACAGCTAGGTTCGAAGTGGCCTTCCGAAAAAATTAAGTTTTATTTAGTAGACAATATTTTACTACCTAGTTCTCGTTAAAATGTTCACTGCACTTTGAGCATTTAAACATTATCCAAATATTATATTATTTCAATAGTGTAATATCGCTGGATCACAGTGGAATAAAGTCACGAAACTAGTCTTTAATGATGAGATAAAGTCATATTGTAATCAAGTATATGATTTAGTCGACTTTTATTTAGTAACTATATAAATAAGTTTGTTAACGTGTTTTTTTGTTTTTGTTTCTGTTTTGTAGTATCTTTATTTTGAGAAACGACTTCGATCCCTACAGCTTTCGAAAATCATTCTGCCAAATCGAACGTAAAATGAAAGTCTAATCAGCTATCTTCTTCCAATGATTCCTAAAATATCTTTCTTACAAAAGATATAATTACGTGTGTAAACATCATCTAATACATAATAAAAAAATCGGTTTTATACACAAATTAGTTTCTACCCAAATTAATCCATACAAAAAAATGTCCTTCAAATTGAAGTTTAGTTTCTAGGCTTATATAAGGGATAAATCATATCTCCCATTTTAAGTAGGCATTTTCTTAAATCCATATTGGATATTCGATTGAACTTCAAAATTGCAATTTTCAAAATTTGTATATTTTGCTGGGTATATTGTTCGATATTTTATGTATAGTTTTTACAAGTTCAACTGAATAATACATTTTATATGATGTGTAGCTCTCCATTAACTCCAAAAAATAGATCAATGACCAGTAAATTTCTCTCAATGTAATGTTAAGTCAATGTCAAGTCGCGAAATGAAATTGACAATGACAAATATCATACATTTGTAAATATGATATTTTATCCATCAAAAAGTGACTTCTTGTTAAAGATAAGATTTTTTTGTAATATCAAACATTTTTATTTGAAACATTAATGAAACTGAATAAATTGTATTTGAAATTTAATAAGCTCTTACTAGTTTATCAGAAAAAAATCTTGTGGATTCATACAAATGAAACTAACAATGAATACTAGAGTTTTATAAATATTTCTCTCTTCCAAGACGATTTTCTTATAAAATAATAAAAACCAGCCAATGCACCGATTTTTCGAGTGTTATTTGAGAAATAACACCGGAAATGAAAATCATATATATCGACATTATTTACCAGAACTAGGTGTGTAACTAATACTAGTTGTCTACATATTTTATACTTTTGTACAAATTTTGAATGAAAGTGTTCTAGAAGTCTTGTTGTATTTAAACTTGATAACTTGAAAAGTAAATAATTAAAATAACATTTGAAATTAAGTGTGAAAGTACTGAAAAGAAAATAACCCCAGTTGTTAAAATTAGAGTCAAATAAATAGGTAATCATAAAGTTCTTTTTGCTATATGGCTTTTGCACTTTCTCTGCGATGTTATATGCTGTTTACACACTTTTCCATTTCTACTATTTCTTGTGCATCTTAATATCGTTAAATATTGTTAAATATGAGTATATCTAACATTGTAAGTTAAGCTAGAGTAACTGTAAATAAATTGGAACAGACGATTATTGATAATAATAAAAATTAGATTATAAAAGTCATAGTGATGATCGTCTGATTTTTGCTGTCTAAATAAAAAAGTTTTATATTCCTCTAATTTATAGATCATTGTAAAACACGTCTAAATGACATGCGATAGTATTTGTAAGAATTATTAATAAAGTTGTAATTGTTAATGGTTAATTCACATCAAATCGCTGTGTGTGTGAGTATAAACGTAAAAAATAGTTCGTCGCTTCCTGTCGTTATCACTTATTGCAAATCAATTGACCAGTAAATTAATTAAATTTGGTTTTCTACGTAAAATATATTCTATTTAAAAGTATTTGAAACTGTCAAATGAATCGTTAAAAATTATTCAATACTTGTACCTGTAAAATTCTATGGTGCATTTGATTTACGTAATAATTAATTTATTAGATAATATGAACCTGCCTCTTTATAACATATATTTAAATAAAAAATTAAGCAATATAAATATCTACGCAGTTAATCTGTAGTCTTACTAGTCGAGACGCTAAAGGGTGTTTTTTTTGTATACATACAATGTCTTTCTAAGTCTTCGTGCAAGTATAACAAAAGGATACACATTGTATACTCCATGAAAATATGTCAGAAAATCACACGAGCTTTTTTCTAAGTACAAATAATTTTGCACGATGAATCAATTGTTTCATAAAAACATAAAAAAACATAATATCGAGGCCATCCTTTAATACATTCACAGATACCCCTCGGCGTCCGGTCTAAACGTAAAAGCACTGGTTAAATATTCAATCATAACAGATGTGACTTATAGGTAGTAATTATTAGTGAAAATCAAAATGTCTCTTGACTGAATAAGAAGTAATTTTCTATTCTGTGTAAAATTTAATTTATAAATTTGTAGAATACACCATTTATCACAACCCATTATAAATTACTGTAGTAAATGGTTCTCCAAAAAAAAATAATATAAAGCTTATTAAAAAAAAGAGCATTATTTATAATTCAAACTTGGTGAATGATAATTTTTTAAACATCTACATCTAATAACACTTATTTAAATATGCTAACACAACTAAATAAAAGTATCAGTATGAATTTCAAATAGTATAAGAATAAAAGAATGGTCATTTGTTATCAGATTGTGTCGGTATACGATATAAAAAGATAATGAGGTTTACGGACAAGTATTGAATCGATGTCACCCACAAATTTGAAATGGAAATAATAATAATTAAAAAATTTTTAAATATCCAATGGAACTTTAATGGCCCTTTCTCTAATACACTTGTGCCTTGACTTCAAAAATTATTCCATAAATGTTGTAATTCTATTCTGTGCACACAAAAGCATGGATCGCGCCATTGATTCTGCTTCCTTTTCAGCGAAGGGTTATAATTGATGTTCGATGTTCATAATAATATAAGAAATAAAATTAAAAAATTACTAAAAATATAATACATGAAAAAGGGACTATAAAAATGTAATTTTGTCATGTGAAGACGTTGAAAATTGTTATTGAAAGATACGTAATCGTACGAAAGTAAAAGGAAACGCAATCACTTTTATGATAATAAATTAACATGTTAGTATTTCCTTATAACAAGCTTTCTGAAATAAAAGTTTATTATTATTTTATAAATGTGAGCTGAAATTAATACCATCAATTTTTTAATGTAGCTAATTTAACAGTAAATCTGACGGTTGAAAGCAACTAACAACTATATGCTGGAAATTCTATTACAATCTTATATATCAGTACATGTATATATTTTTTTAAACATTAAACATCGTAAATTCTGAAAATTTTCAGTGTTTTTCGTTTATTTGTTTTTGTTTCTGTATTGTTAATATTGATACAAGTAGGTCATATGATCATAAAGGTGAACGCGTTTGCTGATATATGTCACTTGATATATTTTTGACATGATTTGACGATATTTTTTTATTTGAATAATTCTAATGTTTGAGAATGTTTATAAAATCAGAAGTGAAATTTATTTGAAGATGAATATGAAATAAAAACAGAAGGTAATGAAAATTTCAAACTTAAACTATCAAATTGTATGTACGAACTGAATCTGAATTTTCTAAGCATGCTTAATTCCTTATTTAGAATTCTATAAGATTGAATAAGAAAATATCTCAAAACATATAAGTAAAAGTAATAATAGAATCACCATTAATATTATGCTACGGAGATATATAAATAGATTTTGTTATTTAAAGATGAGGCAGATTTTAATAGTGAGGTAATATTAGAAGTGGCTTTGTTTTTGTCCACTTTGCGTATCAATTTTTTACATCATATGAACTAAAATTTAGAAGCTAAATTTAAATACTAATAAAAAAGATTTTCTTGAAACTAATCCATTTGTCCAATCGTCTTGTTATAAGAAGAGATCTTATAGCGAGAAGAAATCATCTTGTAACAAGAGGGACTTTCCTCTCCAGATTATTTTGAGAAGAATCCACTTGTTATAAGATTTTTTTTTCACGGTACATAACATGGATAGCACTGCACACGAATAGTTTTGTTTATTTGCAATCATCACGTCTGATAATCAAAAAATATTGATGTATCTTAATTAAATAAAACCACGGCCCTTCTTTAGTTCAAATGCTATCATTCAATTACGAAAAGAACTCTTTTGAAACTGGGATGATCATGCTAATGTCACCGCAGTCGAAAATACATTAAAACTCTTCGAAAAATGTATAACAATAATATCCTATTATTGAAATTTCTGAAAGCGTATGCATAAATATCATCCGAAACAAAAAAAACGAAGTAAAGATATTTCCAATAGATTTTGTTAAGTGTAAGCAAAATAATTTCTTTAAGATGCACATGTATATTTGAGACCATTATATTAAATGAAACTGACATTATATAGACATATGTTATCATGGAACTTAAATAAGTTTAAAAATAAAATATATCCATGTGTATGCATTACAATTACTTAGATAATAATAAACAATTGTTAATTACCAAGCAAATGTGGAGAAATACGTGCCATTTTAATAAATATAAAAAAGAATTACATTCTATAAATGGCTGTATTGCAATGTAAAATCAAGAAGAACTATTGGCATAATAAAGTTCATGTTAATCTCAATATTTAATTTTATTTAATATCATATATTATATAGCTCTACTATTCATTATCACTGATTTTTTTCTAAAATAAAAAGTAAAATTTGTTTATATTCTGCAAGTATTTTAGAGGATGACTTGAATATAGTTTGTTCATAAAAGATCAGGCGTATAAATGATCTCTAAATTTTCCATAAAATTTTTTGATAAAAATATTGATAAAAATCCATTCGATTCAAAGAATATTAATTAAAGTAATAAATAATATGATATATTGCAACTGTTACCATTCTAACCTTAAATATTTTAAAGTGATTCTCTTATGTGTATTTAATATATATTTTGGAATGAAAATTATAATATTTTTTATTTCATTATCTTTTCACTAATCTTGAAAAACCGCCAATCGTTCTCGTTCTGAATAAACGAGCAAAGAATCGCTTCTCGAAAATCTAAGCAACTCGTAGCAAGTGTTTTCATACAAGTCTCACGCAAAGTGTAAAATGAATTTATCAATATATCCAATCAAAATTTAATATTATTAAAACCAGCCATCATAACTGCAAACAATCAAACAGTGCCAACATCATCAATGTAATTTAAAAAAATAAATAAATAAAAATACGGAAGAAAAAAGAAAACAAAACAGAATAGAATTCTATGTAAAGCAAAAGATCGAGAAGTAGCTCGAAAGAAAATAGAATAATCAAGAAAAGGGATACCAATATCAAAGACTACTGGCTAGGAATTTCCAACAATGCAGCTGTTAAAGTAAGCAACAAATTGAAAGGATTGCAAGTTCAAAGACGAAATCAGAACAAGTAATGTAAACACAACGCCAGCAATGTCGGTAGTCCTTAAACCGTTAAAATAACCGTAGATATTCATAATATATAGTAGTGTTTTAAATATCAATCCGTCAAAAGATAAAATCGCGAAAAATGAGTTCACAATCGAAGTCCAAACAATAATAAAATAAACATTTTAATTGATAATCTAGAACTATTCACCAATATGATAGCTAAATTAGAAAAGAACCACACCGATTTTACACGTCCGAAAAATAGATCATTTAAATCCATTTTCAAAAATATGAACCCTTCAGTTAACGCAAATTATATAAAACAAGAAATTTAATTGTATAATCACAAAATAATAAGAATTTCTAACATGAAACATAGAATAACAGAACAACCTTTACCAATTTCTTCGTAGAAATAAAAGCTAATGAAAATAACAAAGAAATATACAAAATCAAAAAACTTATGAACGAAATAATCATTTTGGAATAACCGTGTAAGAAAGAGATATTCCTCAGTGCATGCGATTGCGATATCAGAAATACGGTTAGACAAAAAACTATTGCCACAGAACTCCAGTCTGTGTTAAATGCGCGAATAATCATTTAGCTTTAAATTGCCCTATTCAAACAAAAATAAAAGATATCAAACGTGCCAACTACGGCGGAAATCTTCTTCGGTAAAAATTAATCTCAGTGCTCAGACCAAAAGAAAGACCAAGGCCCTGAAAATGCTATTATACTAAATATTACATGTGCACTGGTAGCAAGTGGTAGTGTCTACAAAATTAAAGAAAAACCCAAACGTACTGCCACCACACCGTCAACAGAATACAATAACAGTTACTCACAATTAGAAAACATGATGGTTAAGCTTATGAACAGAATGGATACAATACTCAGTATGCTCGTCACGCTCATAAATATGATTAAATGAATACTAGATTGACAATAGCACTTTGGAATGAAAACGGCTTGGTATAAAGAAGCATTGAACTAAAACCATTTCATAAAGAAAATAATATCGACTTAATGTTAATTCCTGAAACACATTTCATGCATAAAAATTACTTGAAAATGCCACAATACTCTATCTACAATACTAATCATCATTATGACAAAGTACACGGGGAAACTGTAATAATAATCAAAACTACCATTAAACAACATGTAGTTAAAGCATACAAATATGGTTATCTATACAAGCAACAAATGTAGAAATCAAAGATAAGAACGGCTCAATCACATTCTTTGCGATATACTGTCCTCCGAGACACACTATCAGCTAAGAAAACCACAAAAAGTTCTTTGACAGTCTAGGAAATCGATTCTTAGCGGGAGGTGACTACAATACAAAACATCCATGGTGAGAATAAAGTTTAATAACTCCCAATCTAACAGAGAAACAAATCTTTATTTGGTGTATATATTGTCGTCAGACAGATTGTAAATATAGTTGGAAATAAAAAATTATCTCGTAGATTTCTTAATGAGTATATACTTGTAAGTATTTGTAGCGCCATCCAATATTTTCAGTCAAGTGAATAATATTATAACGTATAATTAATACTTATACTTTAAAAACATAGAGTACTTGCTGTGTAGCTATAACTTAAAATACACGAAAATAATCACAAAAATACTTTGTATATGTAGCGTGGTCATTTCATCATGGAACATAATGATTTTCTAAGCTACATGGATATGATTGGGTTCATATCTATATCATAATATATGTATTCATAACAATACATATCAGACAAGATATTTTCTCCAGTTGTGTCATCATGTTCTAATGCGTAAAGTAAAAGCCATCATACTGTTTTCTCGATCAAAAATAAAATCTAGCTTCCTATCTTTTCAAAATGAGCAATCATTATGTGATATCTATCGAGTACTTTACTTTCTTCTTTCGATCCATTATCTGTATGTCCGAAAGAAATCTTGCGACTGATAATTTCACGTAGTAAATCTTCTTCAAATTGTTCTCTTATTTCGAGAGGCATTCTCTCAATAAATGGATTAACAGCTATTGCGTGCTCTATTGTAAACGGAAATAGTACTGATCGTTAATGCCTGCATATGCAAAAATGTATTTATTAATAATACTTACTTTTTAATATTTGTCTATTATAGATAAAGGTTTTCTCACGAAAACTGCAATGATGAACTTTAAAACCTGATTCTTCCAACATTTTTTTCAACGTTGCTCTTGGATTATCATTCTGTTGAAAGTAAGGGATGTACTTTGAAACGTCCTGTAATTTGAAATCGAGTGTAATCACTTGGAATAGAAAAAGATAAGGTTTTATTTAAAAGCATCGTCCGGTGAACAGTTATTATTAAAATTTTTATAAACTTCTACGTAAAAATTAAGAGTATAAAATTATATTCAATAGTTTGGTATGTTACTTTTAGGACAGTTTAAATCTTCGTTTATATTTGTGCTGTATGTATATGAACAATACATTCTTTATTAGACGAGTCACCTAGTCATCTAGGATAAAGCGGATCTTCAGTTCTTTTATTGATTGAATTTCTTTAATTGAGATGAAATTTTGATACGGACATATTATAAGGAATCTTTTTTACTCAATAAGTGATCCTGATAACTGCAAATTACAAATACCTTCATAAACGGCTTATATTTTGGATCGTCTGACAGTCTCAAATAACTATCGAAACCTGTGTTGTGTGCTAAAAACAGAACTAGTGACTTTCCGCCGGGACGCAAGAGTTTATACATATTATCGAATACTTTTCTGAAAACAAATCGTAAAACAATCGTATCATTATTTAAACATCTCGATGGTTTAATCGATTATGTTAACCATAGTAAGTTAGAGATCATTTACTGTTCAAAATGTATTTATAGTGATATTAAATAGTCAATGAACAAATATTTAAAAATAAGTTTTTTAAAATATCGCTTTGGAACTTATTTATCATTATCTACTTGCGACACATTATTCTGTTTTAAATATCAATCTATTACTACTATCTACAACGGTAACGGGATTAACCATCGATCGTTACGTAATTTCTAAGTTCTTTGCGATAATGAAATTTTCAGTACCTTATATTTTGGCACCAGTGAAGGCAATAAAATGAAACCGCATTGTCGTAAGCTTCAAAATGATTCGATGGAAGATTATCAGCTTCTATGTTAAGTTGAACAAATGACAATCGTTTTTCATCAACATGTGTAGCTTTTGCGAAATCAACCATTTTTTTTGATATATCACCACCTGAAATCAATTTGTAATCCGAGTAAGACGATTGTTCTTTAAAAAATTTTCATGAAAAATAATAGCAACAGTGAAATTTTGAAACCGACTGATCTTCGTTACCGCCAGACTAGTCGAAAGTGCTAAATTAAAAAAAAATGGATTAGTTAAGTAATAAAATAAATATCTTCTCACCAACAACAGTAGCATCAGCCGGTAGTTTAGGCATGAAGAGCTTACGCGTAGTGGATGCCGGCCCACAACCAATGTCGAGACAGCAACCTTGCATTTTGGCAATTTCATCTTGAAACTCTTCGATCACATCGTTGGCGTCTCTAGTTTGTAACTGATGTGCCTCCAAGTAGTCTTGCACCCCGTTCATCTTATTAGCCGGCCGAATGTAACTCACTCGACTGACTGTCTGTCTCTCACTTGGCACCGATTCTTTTTTATATACATATGCTACTCTGCCACCTCTCTCTTACGCTTGGCTTTTCTTCTCGTTCGACGTGATTCTTTTCGATGTCTCGCGAGATCGTGTTCACAAATAGCTTGCTCATTTTTCTCCTCTTTCGCCCTTGTTAATAGCGAAAGGGTTTTTGGAATTGCATCATCTTGCAGTATTGTGTTCGATCTTGTTGATATTTTCAAACTTTCAATCATACCGAATTTCCTCTTAAAATCTACGTCATATTTTTTATGTACCATAGAGTTTGTCTTTTACAAAACGACCACGTGATTTTTGGTCATTTATTTTATTCACGAGTTAACCAATTCCACAATAGAAAAGTAAGCTTAATGAAAGGCGAAAATGGGATTGGCGATTGCGGTTTCTTTGAAATAAGAATATTATTATCTCCAAGAATTTTAGATTAATTTAGTAGAAAAAAAATGCTCGAAACACTGGCATAATGGTCAAATAAAAGTCGTTTGATCGGTACACTAAGAGAATAATACAGAGAGCAACTGTAATTACTTTTCTTTAGAAAAATTAAGCATCTCGAGCTCTAGCTTAGCCTCAATATGTTCAATTATCACTATGAATTTATCACGCGCCTTATATTGAAGGGAACCGCCTCGAAGATAACGATTAACTTCTTCTATGATTACAAATGATGATTGAAAGCATGTCCATATTTCAAAATATAATTAATTGAGTAAGACACAAGTGGAATTACCAAAGTTACAATTCGTGATGTTCACGTGATCTGTATTTGAAAAAAAATAAGCTGAGAGAGAACTATTATTTCGACGGCATTGGTATTGAACTCTATGCTATTTTAAAAGAAACATTATCTGGTTACATACAGTCAATGCAACGAATTATCATGGTTAGTATTTTTAGAATTGGTGATATTTTTATATACGATAATGATTTTCCATTATTATTGCAGACGTATCATATGCGTTGGAATTCTACATAGTCTTCCTTTGAAAAATAAATTGCAAATAACAATGTACTTTCAAACTTTGATATAGGTGGATTGGCTATTATCGCATCTTACAGAATAGGCAAGCTTCAAAAGACAGTTCATGTTTTTGAAACTTTTGAATGGATTTTTCATCATTCAATATTAGTTATCCAACATAACAAACATCTCTCTAATAAAAATTTGTGGCATTAGTTTGACACACTTCAATGTAGTGATTATCAGCAATATTTCTTCAGATTTAGTCGAAACATTCCGATAGCAACTTTAGAATTCAATGGTATCCGATTATTTTGTTGACGTAATAAAAGAACCTTGTATCTCGAGTTATTATTGCGATAGATTTTTATTTGAATAGTTTTTACTATTACCACAATAGCATTTTCTCATGTAACAGTCAAATCCTACAATAAAATACAATTTTTATGTTTCGCCTGGATTCAATTTTTGACATTTTATCAACACTGTCTTTGTTCAATTATTACCTTTTTTTATACAAACGATAAAGATAGAGCATACTCGAAAGTACAATTTCTTGAAAAATAAATTTGTAATAATAGACGATAATATCTGAATCACTTCTCTTCGGAATCCCCCAAGTTAAGATGTATCCGGGCGTTGACTTATTCGTTTGGCTTTTCATCGGAACAAACACGTCAGCGTGTGTCAAAGAACCAGAGACATCCAGAAAGCCGTCGGACCACTTTTTGACTGTTCACAACATTCCAATGTAGCTTTTCACTGCACTACTCACCACGAGAAAGAAAACGACAGAAAGACAGCGAAAGATGTTTCTCATCCAAAACTGACCTATCATCCATTCGCGGGCCCGCACACTAATAACATAACATATAAGAAAAAAACTATGCATAATCGGAATATCCAAGTTGAAGGTACTATACACATTAGCACGTGTGATGTTTGAAGCATGGGTCATTGTACGTTTAAGCGTCAATGATCCACGCTACATTCAAACCATTCGGATTAATTAATTATGCTACGACATACGACGATGTAACGGTATTGAGTGTCAAATGCGACTTTGTAAGATTGACATTAAAAGTGTGTTAGGCAATTGTGCGAAATTCGTCTTTGCCCCTATGGCAGTCCTAAACGCGTGTAGACGTCCCTCGTAGACCGCGAAAGGTCAGTCTTATCTTGCGATTGCATGTATTTGCTCTTGGACGTCAGTGTATTTGCTTATGCGGCCGCACACTCCATCCACAATTCGACACAAAACTTCCTCCCCCGTGTGCGTATCTTCTGCCTAAGTAAATATTCATAATTTACGGCTATTCAACCTTATTTACGTTTCGTGATTGTTATCGTTTCCTTTGCGAATTTCAATTTCACTATCGAGTTATAATGTTTCAAATAAAAATATTCATTATAGGTTTCGATTCTTTAACGTAATGTAAATTGCCGATAAAAGATTGTTATATTGTTGATAACGATAGACTGCATTTCAATCGTAAGTAAAAGTTTTTTTCAAACTCTCAAGTTAATTCTTTTGGCTCACAATAATATGATGATTAAGCTTCTATGAAATCCTATTTCCTCGATAAGGAAAGTGTTTTTACGTAAATAAAATTTTACGTATATTTACTTATCTATATTAATAGCCTTCATATAATGTACTGCGTTTAGTATATAATGTGCTCGAATTGGTTAAAATAGCTCATTTTATTGTTGATATTAACGTTAGAAAGTCCTGATGATAAACATAAATATTTTTTAATGAAATATACCAAGGCAATCAGTAGCTGATATCAATAACAATGCAAAATGTAATTGAAATGTAATTTTAATTTCAAGCTATCATTGTTTATATCGAATTACAAGTAACAATCTTATTATACGGCCTTCTTATGGACGCATGTAGATCCGCGTGACGATAACCATCTTTTCGTTTACCAAAGTCGCGTGCATCTTAGTTTTCCGGCAATATATTCAACTCGGGGGCAAGTTGTCATTGAACGAGCATACAACAAGATAAGGCGAAAAGTTCAATGATAACTGGAATATATCTACGTTAGAACGTAATAAAAGAAATTAGCTTTCTGTTTTGAAGTATTGGCGATATAGATCGATTGGTTTATTTTTGCTTGATACGCACGAGTCATGATAAACAGATTATTAATTGATTTGTAGCAATCAATTTGCTGTAATGTAAATTCACTCGCTTTAGTATTTTTCAGTTTAACGGTTGGATTGACGCGATGGGATTTCAAAAGCAAGTCTGAAGACACGAAATCATTTATCCATCACTATCTGTGTGAAAAAAAATTGCACCTCGAAAAAGTAGCTTGCTGCTTTATCATTTTATTCTTATCGGAAGGATGAATTCGGTACAGATAAGAGAGTTGGAGGCTTTCTCTTTTTTTCCGGCACTCCGTCGGAGAGAGAAGAGAAGAGCAGCTCTCCTCTCGAGGAAGACGTATCGACGTGGATTTTTTCTCAGCAGTCATTTATCAAAGCCTTCTTTTCCTACTTCGTCTTCTTCCGCGAGTTGTGGCTAGCGGCGTGGTCGCGGATCGCTTGTAGAGATTGCCTCGGGACCCAGCAAAAATAACTGATGGAATCTGTATTCCGTCTTTTCTATAAGGCCATTTATTCAATATATGTTCTCAAATAAATATATTATTTGGGTATGGAGATTTTTAAGACTCAGAAATAATCAGCTTTTCCAGTACTAATTCTACTTTTTGGGCAAAACTACATTTCCCCATAGCGTAGACAACTGAACAAGAAGAAAGAAGCTAGCTATGCACCTCACAAAAGTCAAAATAACGAGATGCTAAGAAAACGTCAGAGAGCTGCGCATCAATAATTCATCATTTCTTTTTCAAGAGCATCATTGTGCTCGGTTATGACGCAGATGACCTCTACTATTTGTCGATGATACTATTTGAAGAAATAATCTGTCTTTGTACTCTGAAGTGTATACAGAAAAAAACGTTCATTTCCATGTTATATGTTTTTCTTTCACGTCCGCATCTATGGCATACTGCGATGAACTTAAGGAAAATCTAGTTTTGAAGATCGTTTAAATGATTTTTCCAAATATCTACTGCTTTCAACATAAATATTTACGTGAGTATCTTACGAACAATTTGTCGTTTTTACGATCGAAGACTTACAGAACTTACACATTGCGAAGAATTATTTAATCATGAAATGAAAAAAGGAAATTGTTTTAAATAAAGAATTAGATTAATATTTTGGCCTTACGAGCTCTCCTAAAATTTAGACAATAAGATGATTCGCTATTATTCAATTAGCTAATTTTTGTAATGTATAATTAAATGACGAGCTGTAATATTTTAATTTTTAAATAAAAAATGCTAACGAAACAGACGGCATCGATTTGGTCTTCTTTTTTTGGAGGCGAAACGCTGTACCGGGCGCGAGAGAAAATTCTGAGAGACAGTGACGGCGACGGCGGATTCGATAATCTTCCGTCTATAATTTTTTCGCCTATCCTCCCACGAGCGCTCGCTCGTTCATCACTTTTCCTGGCACGAGACAGCATCCACTCTTTCTCTCGCTCTGCTCTCTCTTTTTTACCTCCCTTGTCTTCGTCTTTCGTGTAGTTTTCCTTTTTCCGGTGCTCAATAGTCGACAAAGTTTTACTTATAGCCGCTATGAATTTCGTTTTTAATTTCAAATTTCACTTCTTTTATTGCTCGAATAATTAAATCTCTTTGAGTAGTTAATTACTTTCAATTCGTTGCGTGCGGTTTTTCACTCGGAATGGTTACATCCCAAATGAATTAAGTTGCTGTAATTTTTTAATATATTTTAATACTACTTTGAACGAGCTTGCTTGCGAATATAATGCTCCTTTTGTAAACAGCATTATAATTGTAATTAAAGAAAAAAGGAAAAATCGAGATTACAACACTAAATTTCGAACGCAAAGTAAAAATCATCAAAGCTTGAGGGAGAAAAATAAGTCGTCGTCAAAAA